GCGAACTTGCTCATCGATCGATTGACACTATTATTTACCAGTTTCAGGATATCATCAAATTTTGGCTCGATACCCTCATCCTCCATACGGGAGCTCATCTTCACCCACTTCCTTTGCAGTCGAGTAGGTAGACGTCTTGCTATTACTTCTAGTATAAAACTCGAGTTGAGGTCACTCGTGCGATTCATCGAAATCATTCCATTCTTGTAAATTAGCAAATTATCTAAAAACTCAGTGAGTGCCCGAGAGTCATCCCGTAATTGACCACCATTACCCTTAACAGCCTCGAATAATTTCCCTGCAATCATCGAAGGTCTTCCAAACCTTTGACGTAAAATGCTCATAGCCTCATCGTAGCCCTCTTTTGGCTTCATAAACTTACAACACTGTATAGCTCTTGCAGCATCTCCAGTGCAATATCTCATCAAATACATTAACTTCATTTCATGAGTTAATAGAAAACTACTCAACATGATCTCAAACCCCTTTACAAATTGTAAATAATCAGCCGGGTTTCCATCAAAACACCGTGGTTCAAATCTAGGGAGTTTGATGTTCCTATTATCCCTGAACGGCGAAACAGTAACATCAACCATGTCATGCTTAACATCAGACACATCGTTACAATTAATAATAATAATAGTAATATATATTCTCATTTTTTACATGAGGGACGCCAGTTTACAGGCATCATCAATTCGATAATTTACACATAATATTAATAAGCATATTTAGTAAAGATAATATAATAAAGTACATTTTTTTCCCTAGCTATGTAGGGTACACCAATTGTATAGGCATGCATAAATATTGTTTTAATAATAATAATATATTCCTTCCTGTTTATGCAGGAACATACCTATTGTACAGGCATGGATAAGTTATTATATAAATTACACATAATTTGATGTATAATGGACTTACAGCTTGGTTGTTCTTTCTGACATCAAAGTCAGTCGGAACAGTCTGCTATAAAGTCTGTTTGTGTAGCACATAAAGAGATGTAGAAATATTGTCTTCGCATTAACAAAAAACCCAGACATCAGATGGATGTAATACAGATATCTGGGAAAAATAAAGCTTGAAGTCAATTCTCCTACATAACTTTGTTGTGAACAGCACCCTTGGCTTAAAGTTTATTGATGTATTCTGTTGAGATCAGTGATATATTTATTCCATTTTTCAGCAGTCTTATCGTAGTTTCATAACAGGAAAGAAATTTGATCGTGGAGGCGAAAATTAGATAAGGTCATGTCGGGTTGTTTTACTGCATCAAATGGTCCCGAGGTCGATTCCAGACATGTCAACATGACTTACTTTCCTGTTTGTATCCAAGACACTCTGTCCCTTCTTTGACCCAGGCATTGTTGAACTTGACCAAATTCCAAAAAAGTTCCAGATATTGCTTGTTCAAAGAGGACTTGACCGGCACCAGGAAAAATGAACAGCGACTATCCAAACTTTCACCAACTGTTTCAATCCGCCAGATCTGTTTCCATCGTCAGAAACTGTCAGTCTCGTCTCATAAACCGTTAATGCCCAGCTCTCGCTACGCTCGGGCCCACGCTGTTTCTTTGAGTTTCAGAAACGCTTAGTAATAACGGACGCAAAAACCAAAACACCGATCTGCTGCTTGTTATTTCTTTATTGTTACACCAACATATAAAAGGAATAAACGAACTAAGGTTTCTGGCGATGTTTCACTCTTCTTTCTGAACAGCGACCGATGGGACGATGACTGTCGTATTGATGCCTCCGCGAAAATTGGGGAAGTTGGTTTTGAGCAAACAACCATGAATTGATCGTTCAATCTACAGCTACTTTACGGATCATCATTGAACAAAGCTTGGAATGGCAGTCACCTCTCTATCTCAGCTTCATCGACTTTGAAAAGGCCTTCGACATCGTCGATCGAGAGGTCATTTGGAAACTACTTTGCTACTACGGGGTCCCATCAACAATTATACATCTCATCCAACAGTTATACGACAATGCTGCATGCCAAGTAATCCACAATGGGAAACTTACGGAGGCCTTCGAAGTGAGGACGGGAGTGAGGCAAGGCTGTCTACTATCACCAATGATCTTCCTGATTGCAATTGATTGGATATTGCGACAGACAACGGCAACCAACGAGGGAACAGGCATAAAATGGACTGACACAAAAGACTTGGAGGATCTGGATTTCGCCGATGATATATGTCTGATTTCCCATAAACTGGAAGATATGCAAGTGAAAAGTAACAAGTTGGCAGAAGAAGCATCAAAGATAGGACTTCACGTGAACATAGTCTACTGATCTCGGACTCAGGTTTAGTTCTTGGCTACTTGTATTTATTTCAAAGGTCACTGTTACAGCCACTGCATGAATAACGCCAGGAATAAAAAAATACTCAGTATTCGAGAAAATTTAAGAAAAAAAACCAAATGGTTTCAAATAGAACTATACCGAAAACAGACCGTTGAAGAGCTGCGAGAAGACTGTTATATTTAACACAATGTACCCGGTAAACATGGTACAAACCAACAAATATCTGGGGTTACCGTGGCATCCAAATACCAATACAGCGAATCGACACAAAGTGGCACTCAGTTAACAAAAGTGTGCGGTCAAATAAAAAGTATGGCAGTTCAGTGAATCACAAATTGTCTTAGTGGTGCAAATGCAAATGGTACATATTCTACAACCTCAGCGTTACCAGTACGCCTAGATACCGCTCCAATGGGCTCTAGTATCACTAGCTTCCCGAAGACTTTCCTAATATCCTTACCACTTTTCAGCCAGACGTATTCATCCTCACTTGTCTAGCTAAATCATCTTTACTAGGCATCACCTACCGCACAAGACCAAGTGGCCATTGGCTCCTACCACTGAAACCTGATTTCAAGACAACTAAGTCTCCGGCCTGTACATTTCCTCTTATGTTCGCCAATTTGTGCCATTGTTGTGAAGAGACACATTCCTTGGACGAGCGTTTCAAAAACACATCTGTAAAGTTGGTGGCTTGTTCACACCTTTTGTAAAACTAAGATGGGTTATATAAATACCTATCGAGTTGTCTGTTGGTAATAGTGGCTTGTCGGGTGTTAACATTTCGAGGTCTTCAACGTCCAGAGTGAGTGAAATCAGGGGTCTGCTATTCATAATAATTTCATCTCCTATGAATAAATTCACGGGGCTTTCGTCACTCAGTGGTTGCTGATTAACAGGCCCACACAAAATCCTGCCTTCAGTACGAATCATACGCTCCCAAACACCGCCCTTATGGTCCCGGGTGGTGAATTGAAATGTCAATCTATACCTGCACTGACTAGGGCGATGCGTGTTATTTCTTGTTCCTATTCCCCTTAGTACCTTTAGAGGCTAAGAGTGTTGTCGTTCACGGATAGTACGAAGTATACCAGCGCATTCATTCCGCGCAGACCAAAGGCAAAGCAAAACACCAGAATTAACCGTCAAAATTACTATTTCGAGACCAAATCGGAGTGCGAGATGATTGCTTACCTAGCCATGGATGGTCCACGATCAAACTAACGTACCACGGTGGCGTGCCAAATGACGTTGATGCTTGACCGGAAGCCTTCAGCTAAACAAATCGAGTAAAACAGTGAGGGTCAGTATCCAATATTCAGTGATTAGTGTTGTGACCAATAATTGTGGGGAATTACCTACCACCCACAGTGTGGTTGCTAGGGATATAGTTCTACCAACTGATGCTGTCCTGATGACTCCTATTAGGGCTATGAATGAACGGTGAGATTCAGATTATTCTAGGCGGAACAATTTGTGTGCCGAAAACTGTATCGGGTTCATTTAGGCCAGTAGCATCACCTGTCAGACGCCTTTGGGGAAAAGAATTGCCTGATGCTGAGAGGAGGAAGGATAGGAATAGTTGTCAATGTCAGCATGGTGAATGATAAACGTTGTAATCTAGCTGCAGCTAAAGAGATTCAAACAGCATAGGTGAGTCGCAGGGCTTTCAGACACTTGGATAACTATATGACTGAGGTGCTCAACCAAGTGTTTGTGGGATGTAACCCTGGATACTTCAAACAGTCTACTAATCTCTGTTGGATGATGGGAGTCTTGGATATAGCCTATGGGGGTAGCCACGAAGCTAGTTAGAATTATATCACATGTTCTTCATTAGAAGGCGATGGCAATTCTTAGCATATGTTCATTATCATACAGCTAGGTACTAGTAACCTTATTTTGGCCATCATATCAGGTAATTTTGTTAAGCAGAACACTGAGTGAGACCGTATTAATAGGCGAATTATTTTCTGAGCTTAATTTTTTGGTTACCTTCTTGCTAACTGTCCTACAGACAGTTGGTGTGTCCTGCTTCCTGTTCTTCTACCCACTCTCAATAACCTTTTGTCTCAGTTTCCTTAGAATCTTTGTCGACCTAACTGGATGATTACCCGGGGTACGGCAGCGCTACCGCCATAGCAAAAACTATGCGTTGTATTTAAGACAAGATAATGTGTGTCCTGCCACTGCATTGATCATAGCCGCAGGAGTAGAAGGGATTGATCTTACTGGAATCGTATTAGAACTAGAAGGTTTCCCGAAGCATGAAGAAGCGAGGGCCAAGGTTTGTACAAACTTATCGAAAAGATGTTGGTTGTGGTTGTATGTGGAAAATTGAAACAACTTAATTTTGCTGATACACTTTATTTCTATATAAAACTCAGTAACTCCAAGCTTCCTAGGTGTTTCATATTTTTCTCATGTAGCTCTCAGCTATGCGCAGCTTCGAAAAGTGCCAGTTATCAGCAGAAAGTTGGGAGATCCTCTTAAAGTTGTTCAACAAGAATTAAGAGAAAAATCCAGCTAAGCGAGTAGACCATAAGAATACAATCAAACAATAGTTTGTTTTCTTTTTTCACACTTGTTTTTATTTTTTGACCTTCAAGATGTATCAAGCAGACCAATCATAATTGTGTGTACCAGTGCGAATTCAAATCGTTTATTAATTGTCAAGATTTCCGTCAGTATGGAAAATTTTAAGAAGGTAGATGGGATTGATTTCTTTAAACCTTTAGGGTGATATTATAACGTTTACTGATGAGGGATCTCAGTTGTTTGGGGAAGTTTTGCATGTGAAAAATGATGGGTTGGATGTTAAAATTGTAATGGATAAAGAGGTATTTTATATAATAGTAATCTGATGTCGCCTTAAGGAGAAAATTATGCGAGTACCGTACGCTCGCATTCAGAAGGGGGCCAAATATTCAGTAGAAGATATGGATAACATGGTCAACCTACCGTAGGCATGCTTATCTAAACAATTTACTGCTTCCTTCAGGAATATGTCTGCCGTTTCGATGCTGGAAACTTTGAAGCTGCGCTATTCAAGATCAAAAATATACGTAATTTTAGGATGCATTATTTTCTTTTTTAGACATACATTGGAAATATTGTTATTTCTGTTAATCCATATAAAGATCTTCTGATAGATGGGCCAGAAGTAATGGTGAAGTACTTCAACCGAATGCTAACAAGTGCCCCAGCGTAAGCTCTTTTTAATGATATAGTTTCAGACATTTATACGGGCTTGCTGAAACACTTTACCAAGCAGCTGTAAGGAATGAATGCGATCAAATTGTTGTTATAAGGTTCGTACGTTTTAGTAATATAATTCGCTTCATGCAGTTGTTTAACATAATTTTCTTTTGAAAGAGCTAAATCACTTCCTGATATTTGCTTTAGCAACCATCAATGTCTAGGATAAAATATTTAGTTAGTGTGAAACATACAGGTTGATTTCAGATTCAGATTTATTGGTTGAAGATAGAAGGCTTGGAGTCCATGTTAATCCTTTTCTAGTAAATTTCGGGGCTTGTCCAAATGCTTCATCGATGAAACAACTGAGGCTGCACACACCACTTCTTATGGGAGTCAGTTCCAGGAGTTTATGACTCTGTGGTTTTACCTTGGCTTTTGAACTCTTTTGCCCTGGTGGGAAGTAAAAGACAGAATAGGTCAGGTCCGTGGGCATTATTTAAAATTTCAAACATTTTAATCAGATCACCTCTCTGCCTACAGTATGACAGGGAGAAGAGATTTAAAATGTCTGGTCTTCCCTCGTATGGTAAGCTAGTAATGACGCGAATCATAAGTGTTGGCTTTCTTTGAAAAGTTAAAGCTTTCCCCTCCTCAGGAATAATAGACTATTTAACAGGTTCTATTATTGACTTTATGAACGATAGAAGAGCAAAAGTCGCCTTGTGTTTGGTCACATTGTTGGTTGAGCTGTCTTTCAAAACCTTGACAAATAAAAATACAGTGTTTTTGGTGCAGTAACTTGATTATCCTAGTAGCTTATAGAATTTCCAGTGTACAGTAAGATTATAGAAGGACTCTTGATAATGATCATAAAACGGTGAATCCTGTTTTTAACTGATTGTTTCACAGTAGTTATTGTATTCTATGTTTCTTTTTGTTTTTAAACAAACTTACAATTTTCTTCAACCAGCGGGGAATCTGGGTCAGGCAAAACAGAAGCATTTAAACGAATTACACAGTATCTAGCATGCACTAGTGAACAAGGAAGAAATGGTTTGAGTTCCGTAGCAAGACGAGTTTTGGAAAGCACTCCAGTCCTCGAGAGTTTCGGAAATGCTACTACTCTCAGGAATGACAATTCATCAAGATTTGGAAAGCTTGTGGAAATATTCTTTGCAAAGTATGCTTAAAGTTAGTGTTTGCTTTTTATTAATGATAATCTGCTTAGTGTTATTATGGTATTTTCTTAGTAGATTGGATTGATGGGCTGTTTGACTACTGTGAAAACAAGACATAAAGTTCTTACTGATATTTCAGAGAGACTATTTAGTAAACGTTGAACTACACAAAAATTCCTAAAATGTCTGTATTATAATCCTAGAATATAATTGCAATAATTCTATTGTTTCGTTATGTTTATTAATGACTCTCAACATACGTTGTGTTAGCAATAAAGACAAAGTTATAGACACTAAGAATTACGTATAAACTGATTCTCCACTACATAGTGATAATAGTCCTGAATCCGAAATTTTACGAAATTATTTCAAACGCTAATTTTTCGTGTAGAAAAGCATTTATAGAGTCTTTTATTACATTAAAAAGTCATACAGTATTCAGGTCACTTTTAGACATGGTATACATGGTAAAATGAACAATACCTCACACAATCTGAGCAACAGGATGCAAAGTAGGATTCTTTATTCATTGACTTGTAGGAGTTTATTACTTTAGGCAAGCTTAGAGTTCCCACTTACCACCAGATTTGTAGATGGTTGCAATCTCTGCCACTCATACAAACGAGGTCGGTTAGAACCCGTCGTAATATTATAATGACTCGTCAACACAGAAGTAGAGAGAAAGTTATTTAAACAGTTGATGCTTTCATAAGAGTAATAACAAGAGAAGAAATATAAGTTGGAAATGGAAAAAAGGTAGGACGTAAGGTCGCTTTCTTCATTCATTGCATTCCCAATAGAATGCAAAGCTTCAAGCTTTGAAATTTCAGTGGCGATAATCTTATTTACACTGGGTAGATTTGCTAACCTTACACCCAACCGTCCCACTTTTAAGGGCCTTCTAAAGGCTAGTAAACTGGGTGAGGCTTGGGAATGTGTATATGAGGAATCGAATTGGCTGACTAGCACTCTATCATTCAACCACAGATGCTGAGTTGGAGTCTAAATAATGATAATCAATCTTCTTCCTAATTTTGTTCCTGACTTTATTACTGTTCACCTCACCCAGATGAGTTATTTCGCAAACTGCACAAAGTCTTTTTATACTTCCCCCTTTTAGTAGTAAATGGTTCAAGCCAGGCCTAAGTGTTTGAAAGGGCTATTGGGTGCCTATAGGAAGTAAGAGAATATGTGCCTTTGGTAACAGATGGAGTTAGGTAGAAAAAATGGGGCAAAGTTTGCGCTTTAGTGTAAAGGCTTTTATAAGATGTTTATCCAGTTATGTTGACGCAACTCTGTTAAATAAAGTGCCAAGTTCAACTGAAAAACACTTTCCGTGTTTTAAAAGTGAATAGAATTTTAAATAATAGTCAACCAGACCTTTTGCAGTTGGTGAATGGTGATGAAGAAAAGCAATTTTGGTAAATTTAAAAACACAGGTGTTGGAATTCGACAAAATTATCCATGGTAATGTGGTTCTAGAATCAGCATTACCTGTATAGGATTCCTGATCAGGCTGGTGGGAATGTACTTCACTTATACCACATTCGAAATTACTGACAAAGTCGCTACTATTCATCAATCTATTTTTTCCCTCTACTCGTCTTCCTCTATCGTGTTGTTACTAAATACGTTTTCTTCTCTTTTACGTGTGTATTTTAAAAGTATAACAGTTTTAAATCCTGCATATTTATACAGATTTATTCACCAATCTCTACAAAATACTGCATTTTTTCGAGGAAAATTCTCATACGCGAGTAAAGAGTCCCTCAAAAAGGGGTATTTTCTTCGTGCGACGTTTTTACCATGCTTTACAGTCGTAATTAATTATAATAGAAATTTAGCTTGTTACAATAAATGTGCTCAGTATCTGTAACCATGAGAAATATACTTGTGAGATGGGCAAAACATTTGAAGGAAAATCTGTTGATGTTTTCTAGAAGGATAGAGAGCATCGAAATTAAATCATCCAATTTAAAGAACGCGTCGACACAAAACTGTCATCTTCTATTCAGTAATGATTCTGCGTTTCCTCAGGGGAGCATAAAACTTTAAATAAAGCTTAACTGAAGTTGGTATTTTTATGACAGCTTGCTGTGTATAAAATGAAGTGAAGAATTACACTTTGCATGATAAAAGTAGCAATTTGAAGCTCATTAGTTGCCTTTATGCTAAGTCATCGAGTATTTTGTTCCTATAAACAGCGACAGTAAATTGATAAGGTAATTTTATTTGGAATTTAAAAGTCTCATTTACTTCCTTTGAAGTCTCATCTAGCGGAATGTACTTTAAATGTTACACAGCTAACATAAATTCATTCCCTTCTCCTTTCTCAGATCGATGATAATTGGAGCGAAAATCACCAACTTTCTACTAGAAAAATCTAGAATAGTGGGTCAGGTGAGGTAAAAGTTTTGTCTTATTTCAGTTCTTGTAGTTGGAAAATCGTACTTTATTCATATAAATGATCGTATCACGAAAATTTTATTATCCCCTGTAAGATCTTGTAACTTTCAAAGTTTTTCCACAAGTTATCCAGACATCTGCTTCAATAAATTGGAATATATTTTGTCATCTTATTTGACACGCATTAATTGGGTTCGTGTGCAATAGTTGTTTTCACAAGTGTCACTGGTATTTAAGGAGGCTAAATTACTGAACTGAAGATTCTTGCTTGCATATTTTCAGTAACGCTTTAATTTTCGCAAACTTAGTAAAGTTAAGGTAAAAGTATTCTATTTGTTGCCCTAAGCATAAAATAAAAATACAGGGAAGACAGTGATTAGAAGGTATGTTATCAAAGGCATTACTTTGAAAAATGTTAATGCGTGAAACAGTTCTTCCTGAACATCCAATGCCTGAAAAGCAATTCCCTATGTGTTATCTGAAAACATTTGAATTTTTAATGGTTATTCACATTTTGCAAGCATTCAAATAATATCTTTCATTTCAAGACATAAAAGGCAAGGATTTAAATTCGCCTCTCTGAATCAATAAAGCATATCAGCTGATTCCACAATTAGTGTTAAACAACTGTATGAAATATTTGCGTTGAATAGCTGATTACGCACATAAGGAAGCACTGGTAAACTCTTACATTCGAGTATTGTTGGCTAATAATTAAATAATGATAATAGTAATAATATTTAGGGTCACCTTTTGATTTCCATTGGTGAACAAAAGTTTCTCAGTTAGACTGTAAGTTGAAGAATTAAGGCTAGGTGGTACAATAACAATGAAATACATTATATTTTGCGTAATAATGCTTGAGGTTATGAGTTATTCTAGTTTCAGACGTAATGATGTTAATCAGCTTCCATATTGAGATAAAGTAGATTCCTTTAACTGTCCAACTTCACATTGTTTACAGTCATCTTCTTTTCAGCACACTTCTATAAAATGTGTATTTGTTCAATTATCAATAGCTAATAAATTGTTTTAGTGTTGTCAGTAACTTTAGCAGTGACCACTGAAGATATGAATCCAGTATGCATTTATTATATTTTATTTACTGGAAAAGATCTGGTCTATTAAAAGAAGTTTTCTCTAAATATGTCAATATAATTTTTCCTTACATATAAAATACATTTGCTTCAAATTTAATAATATATATATGCATTTCAGACTGTATCATATATTCTCTAGTCGAATACTGGAGACACCTGGAATAGTTAGCATCAGCGTGGAAAAGCTAATATATTACTAAGAATGCTAGAAAAAAGACAACGGGTAATAAGGAAACAGGCATAAAATGGACTCACACAAAAATCTTGGAGGATCTGTACTTCGCCGATGATATATGTCTGATTTCTCACAAACTGTGAAAACAAGTGAAAAGCAACAAGCTGGCAGAACAAGCATCAAAGATAGGACTTCCGTCAGGTGAACATAGATAAAACAGAGGTGATGAAGATTCCTGGCCAACAGCAACAACAACAACAACAACAGACAACAATCAGCATGAATGGGAGGAACCTCAAAAAAAACAACCTCCACTACCTACCTTCTCGAAAAGCATCGTTTCGACTACAGACGGAACTGACGAGGATATCAAAGCTAGAATCGGAAAAGCAAGACAAGCTTTCATTACAATTAAGTCTGTGTGGAGGTCAACAGGACTGACTCATCATCAAAAATAAGATCCGGATTTTCAATTCCAATCCGAAGTCAGTGCTACTACACGGATCAGAGACTTGGCCAGCGCATCATGAAGAGCATCTCAAACAAACTTCAGACCTTCATTAACAGTTGTCTTCGCTCAATACTGAAGATCAGATGGCCGGCCAGAAAAGATCAGAAACAGGGATCTCTGGCAATGAGCGAACCAACTCAGCAGGAACCGATTGTGAAACAAAGGTGCAGGACGAAATGGAGATGGATTGTCTGGCCATACTCTGAGACAGCAAATCATCAAGTGACATCACTAGACAAGCCATTGCTCGAGTGGAGCCCGAAAGGGAAGCGGGCGGCGAGTTGGTCGTCAATGCAAGGGTGACTTGGAGGAGGTGATGTGAAGATGAGATGAAAGAATGTGGGCAGACTTGGAGCGGGGTGAAAAAGTTGGCAGAAAATAGAAGGGAATGGAGACTTGCAGCTGAAGCCCTATGTTCCTCTAGGAATTAAAGGATATAATAATAATATTGAATTCTGTGTTCATAGGCACATTATGAATCATTATAAAAAGGCTCTTCTGTTCACTGTCATTCTGTTTAGTTAATAAAATAGATATAAAGTTTTGAGACTATATTCACTAAACCTCAATTTGTGCACACATACATACATATATATGTATTTTTATTGATTGCTTTTTAATAGCCTGAAAAAGAACGCAACTATCATGTTTTCTATGAACTATTGAGTTCACTAGACAATGAAAGCAAGGCTAAACATCATCTTAAGAATGTAGAAGACTATCAATATCTTGTGAAGGTGAGCTAATGGCAGAAATTTTTGATACACACAGTTTTACTTCAGATACAATAATCATCTTTTCTTTTGTTCATCTTAAGTAATGGAAGAAAAATACTGTAGTTTATTTAGACAAATTTTAAGTAAAAGTTTACCAATTTGTAAAATAAAGTGAATTACTGTAAAGGAAATAAAACCTGATTCATAATTACCAGAATATAAGAATCTTACAGCTTATGAGTGTTTTTCCGTTAATATTTTGACTGATTAGTTTATTTTTTCTAGAATTCATCGAATTCGAGTTTAGTTTAGTTCTTGTCTAAAAACAAGACAGAGAATCATGACGTCTTGTATGAATGTCTGTTACTAAGTAATGATATTTTCACTATGAGATCTTAGAGTTCTAGACTCGATTTTAAACCGCGATTGTCAGCACGCGTTAATGAAGGATCTGGAGAAAAAACAAAGAAATTTTATTGTCACACCGTTTTCGATATATATATATATATATATATATATATATATATATATATATATATATATATATATATATATTCAAGTATTAGTTTTGTAGGGATTTTGTTGGATTGGATGGATGATTTCATGTGAACTGACACCAGTTAAAGAATCATTAGAAAACCAGCTGGAGGTACGGGACAGCTGTTGCGTCCCAGTTTTGGACTCTTCAGCAGTACACATCCACCATAGAAGGTTCGAACCCAGAACCTTCTGGTCACAAGGTGAGCTCATAGACCACTGAGCTACTAGGACCCAAACGATCCAATGGCCCACAAATTTTAACTTCTGCCAATTCACAAAGTGAAACGCAATGTCTTCTTCGATGAGTTACTGCTTCATCCTCAACCTTTTGTACCCTACTGGTCATGGCTTCCCACTAGAACCCCAGGTCGGATCCAGTCTCAGTGACTCAGTGGTCTACGAGCTCGCCTTGTAGCCGGAAGGCCCTGAGTTCGAGCCCAGGTGGGTGCGTACTGTTGAAGAGTCACAAACTAGGATAAAACAGCTTTTTAGTACTCCCAGCTGGTTTTCTGTTGGTACTCTAACTGATTTCAGCTCACGATGAAATCTTCCATCCAATATATATATATATATATATATATATATATATATATATATATATATGCTGTAAAACGACTACTGAACTTTACTGGAAAATTTTTAAACCAGTATTTGTGTGTAGGCAAAGCTAACGCAATTCCCAAATACTGGCTAACTGTGCTGGTTAAGACAACCACTGAACATGTAATAATTTCTAGAGAATAGCTATGGCTGATAGGCAGAAATTAAAAAAACATCTAATAGAAGAGTGTTTTCCATATGTGGAATACATAGTATACTACTACTATATGTGTGTATTATTACTTAGCGTTCCGAACGAAACGTTAGGCTTCAGGATTGAGCCTTGACGTTTTGGTAGCATTAGTTGTTTTACAGGATTGGGTTGCTACCTTGATGGCTGAAATTTCTTTTTTACTGGACTGACTACCGGTTAAGCAAAGTTTAGGAATGCGTTGACCACCGGGTACCGAATACCAAACCACATGTGAGGTTGGCAAACATTTAACCACTGAGCCCCTTATGCACACATACTAATAAAAGTATAAGAAAAATATAAATTTCTTGGATTATCAATAGATTTCATTAAATAAAAATATGAATATAAAATCTACTTAGCCTGAAAACAGTTTAGTTCACTGACAATTCTTGCTATTAAGTAGCTACAAATATTTATATAGTTTATCGTTTTCTCATGCTTGTGGTGCAGTGCTTATTCTTTGAATGCAGTATAAAATAATTGTTAACTGATGTTGCTTCAGCGAACTGTTAGTATAATTTCTTTCCTCAAATCATTTTGTAAAGTTTATTATTTTAGTTGCTTCCAAAAACCCAGTGATATTACCAAAAAACTATTTTTGTCACATTGTGTGCGTCGGTGGCAAAGTGGCTGGAACGCTCGCCGACCATGGACATGGTCCGGAGTTCAATCTCCGGCCGACGCACGGCTGATATCAATGGTCGGCCTGATAAATTTGCGCTACCAATATCACATGCTGGAAATTCCATACTTGTACTATGAATACTGTGCAGAATCAAGCTATAATAAAATAAAAAAAAATTAAGTTTAAAGTAAGGTCACTGACAAGGATCTGGTTAACAAGAAAGTATTCACCTATAGTTATACTAAAATGAAGGCTTTTATACAGGTAATCTTGAGACGAGTTGAAGAAGTCTTTTAAAAATACTTTGAATAATGTGATTCTACAATCATGGTATCACCAGCAGTACAAAAATTATGCTCTGATTCTGATGAGAATAGACACTGGCTATACGATAAATCTCATGATATTTTATTAAAACCTTCAAATTTCACTATGTGTCCATACATTTTAAACAAACTGGTTGAAATGCTTCAGAATATTAGATTACTAATTGAAGGATAGGTTTGGTCATGAATTAATATCAGTTACAAAATCATATGAATCGGTGATTACTAAACATTTAATCATTTTAGGTTAAGCCTCTTCAGATGATTTTTTAATTCTTTCACGTCCCTAGTGGAACATAGGGCTTCAAGATAGAGGCTTATAGTTCCGGTAGCAGTGGTGTTTATTTTTACGGGATGGGGTTGCTAGCCTCATGCCCAACCTTTCCTCTTTACCAGCTTTATTACTGGTTTAGCAAGATAAAGGAGTACCTCGTCGGCCGGGGATTGAACCTCGAACCATGTGCATGATCGGCGACGATCCTAACCGCTGTGCCACCGACGCACGATGTGTATACAGACTATCCAGCAAGCAGTTTGGTCTGCTTTCATCAGGTTTCGAAGTACTGATGCTACTGTATGGCCAGTTAGTTGATATGAGAATAGCAGGAAGCTAAAAGTCTTGAGCTTGATTCTTTCTAGAGTCCTGAGTGTGCATTGTTCGAAGCTTTTCTTGAATTGATTTGTCCTTTCAGCTTATATTTTAATGAATACGTAACTTCAGAAATACACATTCATGTGAATATTAATAATTGATTTTGTATTTAATAGGGATCAAGATGTACGTTTACAAGTCATTCAGATCCGGATGGCTTATCAATGCTACTGGAAAGTTGGCGTACACTAGGTCTGCCACAAGATGAAATGGATTTATGTCTGCGAGTAGTATCTGCTGTGTTACATCTTGGAAATATTAATTTTAAAAGTGATTTTGACAAGGTTAGACTTTCTGTTTATTGTGAACAATTAGCGTATTTTTATAAAATTATCATATTTTCCTGTAGTATACTGAGATTCATTACCTCATTCCCTTTTTTTACTTTAAAGTATTTAATGAAGTATATGTAAAAAGTAAAATATTAACGGTTCATTAAAAACTACGTACCACTGACTGAAGTGAGTAGTGGTATGCCATTCACATCAATCAGTAGTCCGCGTTCTCTGAGCTGAGTCAAAACCCGGTACGCCTTCGATGAGCTCGGCCCAAAACTGGGGAAATACCTGCCGGTGTTCAGATCAACTCAATCTGCCTAACACAAGCACTACTGGTTGATGTGAGTGGTAGACAACTGTTCATCTCAGTCAGTCAGTCAGTCAATCAATCAGTAGTGTAAAGGTTTATGCACTTATGCTTGGTCCCATGATTACTATTTAAAGTATCAAGCATAGTGATCACATAGTGATCTGAATAAACTCAGTTTCCATAGGGAACTGATGCGATTTCATCTCGAACTGTGTAAATTGCGAATTAATTTGCCAATTTTGTGAATTTGATTTATTAATGGTTTAGGCTAAATTATACTCGATGGTTAATGGCTTTAAGTCTATGCGTATTAAGCTTCAACTATGAACCACCTACTCTGACTCTGGAAAACTAAAGGTATTCTTAGTTTTCATGTACAAAGTTTTTTTTCATACACTTTAAGAAACTAACTGAGAGAAAATGACTAAAATCAAAGTAAAATCTGAGTAATTTTACCAAAGAACCTGTGGTTTACACACTGAAATGTTCATAAAAATCTTGTTGTCCTTTTCCAATCAAGACGAGGTTATTTTTAGTCACTTTGGGTAACTTAAGTAAATTCATGATGCATAAATGGGAGGAACCTGAAAAAAAACAACCTCCACTACCTACCTGCCCGGGAAGCATCGTTTCGACTGCAGACGGAACTGACGAGGATATCAAAGCTAGAATCGGAAAAGCAAGACAAGCTTTCATTACAATTAAGTCTGTGTGGAGGTCAACAGGACTGACGCAGCATGAAAAATAAGATCCGGATTTTCAATTCCAATCCGAAGTCAGTGCTACTATACGGATCAGAGACTTGGCCAGCGCATCATGAAGAGCATCTCAAACACACTTCAGACCTTCATCAGATGGCCGGCCAGAAAAGATCAGTAACAGGGATCTCTGGTAATGAGCGAACCAACTAGGCAGGAACCGATTGTGAAACAAAGGTGCAGGAAGAAATGGAGATGGATTGTCTGGGCATACTCTGAGACAACAAACCATCAAGTGACATCACTAGACAAGCCATCGCTCGAGTGGAACCCGAAAGGTAAGCGGTGAATTGGTCGTCAGTGCAAGGGTGACTTGGAGGAGGTGATGTGAAGATGAGATGAAGGAATGTGGGCAGACTTGGAGTGGAGTGAATAAGTTGGGAGAAAACAGAAGGCGATGGAGACTTGCAGCTGAAGCCCTATGTTCCTCTGGGAATTAAAGGATATAATAATAATAACGACTTATTAGTAGAATTAGTCATTAATTTATATCAATAAATCTCTACTTATTTTCTTTGTTATTTTCAATAGTTAGCTTTATTAATAACGTTTATGAAATGATACAAATTATTCTTTTATTTTTTAAATTTTTCTTAGGATAAAACGTCAATTATAAATACGAATGTTGCTGAAATTGCAGCTTCAGAGCTTGGTGTTGATGTAAATGAACTTATCAAAGTGATTACTATGAAATTAACAGTAAGTTCTTATTATCGGTCATTTAGAGTTATTCATCTCCATAGAAATGTTGTAAGATTCTGATTCTTCCAGAAGTGACTTATTTCATATATTAACCCGAGAACTAAAATAATAAGTGATTAGTTGGAATATTTGCAAGAAAAAGATTGCGTCTTTGTATTTTTAAGGTGAATCCAAGTGATAATAGCTTCCGTCGGTGGTACAACGGCAGAATGCTCACCAACAACACATGCCGTCCGGGGTTTCGATCCCCGGCCACCGAAGTACTTCTTTACCTCGATAAGCTAGTAACAAGACTGGTAAAAAGGGTAGGTTAGGCATGAGGTTAACCACCCCATCCGTTAAAATTAAACACCACTGCTACCGAAACTTCAAGCCTGTAGCTTGAAGCCCTATGTTCCAGTGGGATCGTAAAGGAATAAAATGATAATAAATAAATACTAGCTTTATTCTAAATTGAACTTTTGGTACAAATATGGAATTTTCACCATGTAATATTGCACCTAATTTTCTCATTACATGGGCAATAAGTGAAATAGGGCATTTATAATTATTTACATTAATAATACTGCTCAATAAAAAAATGATTATGAAACTAAATGAAGTGAAAATATTAACGATAATGTAACAATAAGAACAAAGAAAAATGCCGTTCACTCAGAGAACCTCAATAGTTTGGTAATTTCCTGTCTTACACTTTTCTCATCACATAAAATGTGTGCTAAATAAGGTATTGTAGAGATTTTGTACTTAGTCGTCCGAGTATACAGTTGCTTCTGGTTCTACCTGATGAGATTCAGAAAGGAGAGAGTTATGTATGGAGAGGATGTTCCGAGTCTGACAGGATAATATTTGCTAATTTCTTTTAGGGATACAACTGTGTATCTCCAGTAGTATTAACGATTTGGTTCAGTAACACCCCACTCACCATATTGACGGCTTTTAGTGCGTTTGCTTTGTGGATGTTGTGTCTGAGAACTGGGTATTGAGAGTTGATATATATTTATCTGTTTAGAGCGTTTTACATCGGTTAATCAATTTTTACCTACCAACTAACTCTTGTCATACAACCTTTTTTACTCGGTTTGTAGTGACTAGCAGTAAAATCATGTTAATATTGAGGTATCATCGAATAGTTCGGTAATGAGAATCTACACGACTACAGCCAACTGACGCAGGATTTCCAAAAGTTTCAGCAAATTTGTAACGTTTCTTAAATATCATAGAAAGTATTCCTATTTAGTAGACTTTAGTACATTATCACGCGAAGGAATAAAATGCTGCAAAATCGGATGACATGTGGTCATTTCAAATTCTTCTTGTCTCTTTTACTGATATTTCAATAAAGAATAACTTTAGCTTTACTAACCGTCTATAAGAATCCCCAAGTTAACACAGCAACGACGTTTATTGAGTTATTGTGTACCTATTTAGATAAATTCCTTTGCACTAAGTGACTATATTTGAAATATACTCCTGATTCACAGCTTAAAAATTAGATCTCTGTATTATTTATTTATTTAAACGCATAAAAAACTTGGTACACTATGGCACCAAGAAGGATGCGCCACACAATAATAATAAAACAACATGGATCAAAAGGAAAAAAAGGAATGAAAAGAAAAAAATATATAAGTAGAGAACGGATAAAGAACTTCATCTGGAAGGAAGACATTCATGCTTAACAAGTTCAAACAGTGTTCGTTAACTATCATCGGGAAGGGAAGAAAGAAGGAAATCGCAACACATTCGCCATTGATTACGATTTTTGGCCATATCCGATAACGTTTCGAGCCATCGATTTGAGCTATCTCTCGGACCCCAACCAGGGAGTCGTGACACACCAACCGATGCTAATCTAGCACAAAAATCCTTCATCCTACGACGCCACGTCATCGACTGACCACCTCTCCGCCTTTTCCATCCCGTCCCAGGGCTAGCGAACAGAGACCTGTACGGGATGACATTCGCAGCACATGTCCAAGCCACCGAAGTCGGTGTTTCCAGATGACGACACTCAATGAATGGTGATCTCCAATGTGTTCAAACACACGCTGCCGAACCTCAGAATTACTCACGCGATGATGCCATCGAACGCAAGCAATCCTGTGGGGACAGCGGTGATCGAACACGCAGTTTGGTGCTATCCAATGATACATACTTAAAACCTTATTTTAAGATGATGAAAAGCTGCGGTAGATACCTTATCCCCAAGGTACTGGCTTGTAGCCCGATCTGCTACATATTTGATTTCGTTTTATGCCTAAGCTATTTTGAATTAGACTGTAAATTTCGGTGAACTATGGAAATGTATGAATTTAACTTTAATAAAGGAAATTTGTTTATATTTCTCAAAGTATACAAATAACGCATATATATATATATATAACTTTAATTTATATTACTTTAAGGAAACATCTATTGATAGCCTTTGGAGTCCAGTCAATGCTGCTGGTGCAATAGTTAATCGTGATTCTATCGCTAAAAGTCTTTATGTAGAGTTTTTCGACAGATTAGTTGAAGCAATCAACGTGAAAATTGCACCATCCGACTATTTGGATCCTGATACAAAATCATCAATTCGTGCAATCGCTTTGTTGGATATTTATGGTTTTGAGGTACGTTGAGTTTATTTTTTATTCTCATGTCTCTGTTTAATTATTGATTATTAATTTATCCATTGATTTTATATTTGAGGAGGGTGAACTCAGTGCTTCAGTGACTTATTGGTAGAGCGTTTGCCAGTTATGCAGCGGAGGTCAAAGTATTATTTCCTGTCGATATATTTCTAAGCTGTGCTTAGTTTACTTGTCAGCAATGTAAATCTGGGAAGGAGGTGAAGCTGGGCGTGGGACTAACAGCCTCAATTCATGAAAACAACTCCATAGCTACTGAAACTTCTAGGCTTGAAGTCTTTCAATGTATTTAGGAAAGCGAGGGGAAAAAAAGAAATTGGGCACTTAGTGGTACTTCTGTTTATACTTAATCAGTCATCAATATCGCTCCGGGAGTGGTGTACTTCACTAAAAATGACGATGGGGGAGAAAGCAGTAAACCTGAAATCTTTATAAATTAATGACTGTCATTAAATTTCACTAATTTTTTTTTCACATATTTATTTGAATTTAAGAAACAACCTGACTATAAACAAATGACATGCTTCCCACCTAATGTTTAACAAGTCTCAGTTGCCACTTTTAGAAGCAAATTAATAAAAAATTAAAAATATATGTCTGTAGATTAACTTTAGGAGGAAATATTCTCCATTCATCTAATTTCCTAGCGTCAAACTCTTTAATATTGTGAATATAATTGACGAATTATATGAAATTGAAGGGCTTGAATTATTATATTCAAGAAACTGATATACTTTAATATATTTACTCAAAGACAAGCTGAACAACTAAAGATATAAATATCACAAAAAGTTTATACAGTTAAATTGCAACTGCTACTCTGAACAGAAATAATACCTTTAAATATTCCAATTGTTAAGACTGGAATAAGACAATTAAGTGAACAATATGGTTTTCAGTTAGCTTTTCTTCAGGCTTTACTCTATATCACATAGCTTTATGCATTAAAAGGTAACCGATGATGGTGAGTTTGTGGGTTAAAAAGTAGTAATTATAATAAATGTTTTGAATACCAGTGTAGCGGTAAGTAATTCCCCAAAATTATTAACCATACCATTCATCGGTGGACATGGGATACTGATCCTCACTGTTTAAGTTGACTTGTTTAGCTGAAGGCATATGGCCAAGCATCCACGCCATATGGCACGCCGTCATGTTACTTTCGTTCGTTCGTTCATGCGGGATCCCTAGCTAATGAAGCAATCAATCTCATGCTACGATCTGCTTCCGAAATATACTTTATAATTTGGACGATCAGTTTTGGCGTTTTGCTTAGTCTTTGGTCTGCGTGTAACGAATACCATTGAGGTTGTGGGTATTATATCTTGCGTTGGTACACATCGTACTATCCGTGAACATCATCACCCTCAAGCCTCTAAACCACTTATAACGATGATGATAATTATAGCAAAATTAATGATAATATATGGTCTCATATGTTAACAAAAGTACAAGGTGATTATGCAGGTGGTGATAAAAATAACGAAGGTAGTATGTTTACGTAAACAAATCAATAAATAAATTAGGCCAAACCTTAAAAGTTACGTAATACTAAAGGTACAGTGAAAAGATAATCAGAGTTTAAATAAATATTATATAAGTATGAAGGAAGTGGAAAATAAGAAATGGTAGGAATTTTTCAATTACAATTTATTTAAGCCAAGGGAGAGACAAAGGTAGAACAAACTTATTTTGTATGCTAAGACTAAGATTATATGGATTTATGATAACAGGAATGTAAAGTGGAAAACTAACTAGACCATTTTATTTATCAAGCCTGTTAGAAACCTTATTGATCTCAGTGATATGTTGGCTATTTGGCTAAATTCCCAAATGTGCCTTCATTATACAAACAACAGAAATAGTTTTTCTTTGTTGATCTGTGCTACAAGAACATTTATTCATTTTTTGTACAAAACATGTGCTGTGTATGAGTGTGATAAGTGGTCGTCAAAACATACTAGACATCTGAGAATTGACTTCAAGCACAGTCTTTTATTTATTTTCAAGTATTGGTTTTGTAGGGATTTTGTTTAATTGGCTGGAGGATTTCATCATGAGCTGACATCAGCTAAAGAACTACTGAAAAACCAGCTAGTAGTACTGGACAGATGTCTCCTCCGTCATAGTTTAGGACAATTCATCAGTACGTATTCACCACAGGAGGTTCGAACCCAGTACCTTTTGGTTACAAGGCTAGCGAGCTCGTAGACCATTAAGCCACATGGACACGAACCAATGGCCAGCCCATGAATTCTAACTTCTGCCAATTCATGGCATAGAGCGACCACTTCGCAGTGTCGTCTTCAATGAATAACCGTACTTACCTTCAATCTACTGCATCCGAATCGGTCACAGCTTCCCACTAGAACTCTAGGTCGACTGCCTGAATAGGGCCAGTCACTAGTGAGTATTTGTTATAACTGTTATTTAGCTTCATTAAGTCAGCTTAATGGAGCTAACTGGTACTTGATTCCTGGCCTATTTATTCAATGTATGAGCAGCTTTGTAGCATTATCACACTTTGGATAATAAATGTGGCTAATTAGCTAGTTGACAAACCCTTACATAATCAATGAACAAATCTGTTCTTTGTGTCAACCAATTCGTTTAAAATTAATTCAGAATTGATGCTAATTTTATTGTGATTCATTGAACTTTTATTTGTAGTTAACTTGCAGAAATTTTGTGCCCATTTATGTATTTATTGGATATCATTCTTAATAATGTCTACTTCGTAATTTTTATTTATTTAGAATCTTCCAAATAATTCATTAGAACAATTTTGTATTAATTATACAAATGAAAATTTACAACAATTTTTTAATCACTACATTTTTGAATTGGAACAAGAAGAATATCGTTCGGAGAATATTAGTTGGCAATATGTTCAATTTCCTAATAATCAGCCAATTATTGATTTGATAGCTGGTAAACCAAATGGAATAATGCATATATGTAATGATGAAGCTAGTTTAGCAACGGTAGGTTGATTAAAAATCAATTCGGTCACATTTTTATCTTTTCTTTGTGATATGTAGTAGCAATTAAGTACACTGTTTCAAAATAGTAGCTCTTACTATAATAAAGATAATAGAACCTGAATGTTTCATAGCTTTTCATTTTCCGTTCATGCAGCTACCTATTATATGTAGTATTTGTGTGAAGCGTGAGATGTATTAAAATTCTCCTTTTTTGGATGATATGAATTTTAGTATAAAATAACCCAAAAGCACTAAAGTGTACTTCACTGTATTCCTACTCGAAACTTATTTATGAGTAGATTAGTATAAGTTGAAGCCAACAGTTTCTGGACTTCGCCGATGATATATGTCTGATTTCTCACAGACTGTGAAAACAAGTGAAAAGCAACAAGCTGCAAAGATAGGACTTCCGTCAGGTGAACATAGGTAAAACAGAGAAGATGAAGATACCTGGCCAACAGCAACAACAACAACAACAGACAACAATCAGCATGAATGGGAGGAACCTGAAAAAAAACAACCTCCTTTTCCCACCTACCTGTCCGGGAAGCATCGTTTCGACTACAGACGGAACTGACGAGGATATCAAAGCAGCGAGGATCGGGAAGGCAAAACAAGCTTTCATTACTCTTAGGTCTGTGTGGAGGTCAACAGGACTGACTCAGCATGAAAAATAAGATCCGGATTTTCAATTCCAATGTGAAGTCAGTCAGTGCTACTTTACGGATCAGAGACTTGGCCAGCGCGTCATGAAGAGCATCTCAAACAAACTTCAGATTTTCTTTAACAGTTGTCTTCGCTCAATACTCAAGATCAGATGGCCGGCCAGAAAAGATCAGTAACAGGGATCTCTGGTAATGAGCGAACCAACTAGGCAGGAACCGATTGTGAAACAAAGGTGCAGGAAGAAATGGAGATGGATTGTCTGGGCATACTCTGAGACAACAAACCATCAAGTGACATCACTAGACAAGCCATCGCTCGAGTGGAACCCGAAAGGGAAGCGGTCGGCGAGTTGGTCGTCAATGCAAGGTTGACTTGGAGGAGGTGATGTGAAGATGAGATGAAAGCATGTGGGTAGACTTGGAGCGGAGTGAATGAGTAGGGAGAAAACAGAAGGGAACGGAGATGCGCAGCTGATGCCCTATGTTCCTCTAGGAATTAAAGGATATAATAATAAAAGTTTCGTTTCAGGAGTTAATGTTTGTTATCGTAACTTTTGAATTCGTAACATAGTTGGAAAAATACATAATAGTTGAATTTAAGATAAATGTTTCAAAGACTTGGTGTTCGGGAATCAGTCATACTGTTGTGTTTTTAACACAGTGGTACTTCACCAGCTGATTCTCTGCCATTTTCCTCCTCAGCGATTTGTTTCGATGACCTAGTGTTCCAATGTTTCCATTGTAGTATTCGCTAGCCACACACGAGATCCGGGTTCGATTTCTGGCCTTTGCACTGCTAAATCTCGCCTAGTTTACTTGCTAACAATAATCCCAGAAAAAAAGTGAAGTTGGATATAAGGCTAGCGAGTCCAACCAATGAAAAAATAACATTAGCGCTACTAAAACTTCAAAGTTTGAAGCCTTGCGTTGTATTCATTAACAGAAGGAATGAAGAAGTGATCCATTAGTTGCATTTCACTTCTCAAATTTATTTTTGCTCATTAAAATTTGCAATTGTATTTTTTAAAAGGGAAGTTTAAGAAAACATGCTACCATTACCACATGCCATTGTGTTTCATTCAAGTCCATAGTTTCCATGCACCAGGCCCTCTATTGGGACCCAAGTAGTCAATGGCAAGTTGGTTTTACGAGGGTGGTATGAAAGAGATCGTGTAGGGAGGAGATGAGAGCCTATAGGCAGTTGTAGAGACAGTTAAAGCGGACTGCAGGCCATAGGGCCACAGTGGAGATGTGCTGTTGAAACTCTGTGTTCCGCTTAGAACCCAAGGGAACAATAATAATAATAACTATATACACCGTGAATTTATTATTCATGTTCTTGCGTGAATTGTAGATGAAATATATTGAACAAAGCTGTTTTCTCTATTTGTAACGTTAAATCGTTATATATATATATATATATATATATATATATATATATATATATATGATCACATGCGATTTTAACAATTGATTTGTTAACAGCTTTAGTCAGTGCATCATTGAACAGTAAGGTTTTTGAACCTGAGAGCAACACTAATCTCCTCGACTATACTTAGAAGCCTACAAACTCACATGAAAAGGCACTTTAATCGTTTTTTTTCAAAATATGATGATCTGTTCTATTCTTCAATATATTCTACACTACTGGTTTGTATTTTAGGGAACTGACGAGTCATTTCTACGACAGTGTCAACATCATCATCAAAAGCATCCGAATTTCAAAGTGAACAAAGTACATGGAAATAGTTCATTCACTATTGTTCATTTTGCTGGGGAAATTGTTTACGATGTAAGCCAATAGAATGATGTCCAGTTTCTGTACCTATTTTATTTTTTATTTTTTGATTACAGCTTGATTCCACACTATATTTTCGTACAAGTATGGAATTTTCATCATGGATATCAGTAGCCCAAATTTCGCAGGCCCACCATAGATATCAGGTGTGCGTCGGTAGGGGGGATTGAACCTCGGACCATTTGCATGGTCGGCGAGCGTCCCAACCTCTCTGCCACTGACGCACTATGTGCATTCATATGATTAATATTTCATATTTAAAATAGCAGTTCAGAACAGCTTATGATACAGAATTATGCTAGGCCAAGAAAAAAACTTTTACAAAGAAGTAGACTGTAATGTCATATATTCTGATAATCACAATAAAGGTTTTAAAGTTAAGGTAATCAAAAAGGTTGAAGAGACGGTACTACTGAGAATGTTTAAGTTGAGATGAACTCAGTGAATTTGAAGATGTTAATTCAATTACTCTGCAACAGATGAAGCCTCTGAGAATGTTTAAATTAAAACTTTAAAAAAAATTATAAATCTCAGTATTTAACCTTTTGTTTGTTATGATGGTGATTAATTTCTGAAGCCATATTTTCCACTCAGAACTCAAGGAACGTACACTGTAATATCAAATAAATTAAACGGAGTTTAGAAATCTTGAGTTTTTCTGTTGGCTGGTGTTTACAGCAATAGTAAAAGTTTATTATTTAGACGAATACAATCTTAAATATGTTACTACTGTGTGACAATTTGGGTGGACACATTGAAAAGTATCGTTAATTATTTTTTTGTGAAGAATGCGTCAACCAAAAGTGGGTTTAAAGTACGACATAGCAAGAGACTCAGGCGACAAACCAACCAATAGCCAGTTGCTTAACAAGTATGTAGCAGAAAGTCGAGATGGATCAGACATACGTTGAGAAGGCCGTCGAATGACATCGCTCACAGTGAAATCCAGATGGGAAGCGACGAGTGGGTCGTCAGTGCCAAGATAACACGGAGGAGATCGTAATCGTAATCGTAATCGATTTCAGCCAAGCATGTTTGTCACACAATTACTATTTATTTTAACACCCCATAACTGATCTATTATCCGCCGCATAACTGTCGATTGTTATAACGATAACAAATATTATATTTTATAATTGTAATAACCTGAAGAGGAGAAGTTGTTGAAAAGAGTATACCACATCGTAAACCTACCTGCTCTAATGAATAGTACTCGTCAATCCTAAAAATTACTTCGAAAACCTGCTGAGCACTTAACTCATTTGAGGCAGGGTGCGCCAGTGGCGTTCTTCATATAATTTAATCTAGAAAGGCAAATCAACCAGTTGAAAAGTTGTTGTTATTCACAGTGTCCGGAGAACCAAATTTTATTTGAGCATTTCAGTCAAACTTCCCTATGGACTATTCACTTTGTAAACACTAGATTTGCCTAGGCGGCATTCCTTTTAAGAACAGATGCTTATTTATATTAATAATTGATTGACACTATATTTAATTCCTAATTAAACTATAAGACAAAATTTATGAAGGGTTAAAACCATCTTCCACGACTCATCAGTTTATGAAATGTATTTAGCGCATTCGTGGCGTTGTTTGACTCTCTTTGTACTTTTAAACACTCATTGTGGGTAGATTTTAGTTCGCATATTCTTTTGAATGAAATGATTTTACCATTTCAGTTGAAATCAGTGAAAACATTCAAAAATATTCTGTCTGTTGGTTAATTATAACATGTTATGACATAAATTTACCAGTAAATCAATAATAGGTCATCAGAAGTATAATTAGCTGGTTGGATTTTCGGCTTTTTCATTTAAACTTCCAGTAGAGCGAATAGGACCTGAAGTAGGAAATTTTTTAACAAACGGTTTCTTTCCCAAAGTTGTTACATTGCTGATTATGTGTTAAAAAAGGCTTACAGTGAAACTGTGACTGAAATCAACTAACAACAAATGATTGACACTGATGACCATATTCATACAATTTTTTTATTTATTTTTGATCTACTAGGTACGTGGATTTGTTAATAAAAATCGTGAAAAAATTCGTAGTGAATTATTAACTTTATTAACAAAAAGTACAAATCCATCAGTTGCAAAAATGTTTCGTAATATTCAATCTCAACGGACTGGTGTAAATGGTTCAGGTCCAAAGTTAAAAACATCTATGGTTTTGACAACAATGAATAATTCACTTCAACAGTTAATGGAGAAAATGAGAGCGTAAGTAATACGGTTGCTTTCAAATGCTAAAAGAAAAGAGAGTAAGAATTGTCGCTATTACCTAATGTAAGAGTTTTCATTCTCATTTTCGTTTGGTTAAGTTGTTGAGAAATACAGAGTAATCTAAGTAAAAGGTATACTTCAAGTATATTTTCATTACCAACAACTTGAGGTTATCTAACTAAAGAAACAAATATAATATGAATATTAACAGTAATTTATTATCTAAATAATGCTAAATGTATTGCAGAAAATCATCATGAATAGATATTGTATGGTAATAAGCAGTAGATTAATATTCAGGTGGTAGATTTGTACTTTGATTGGACACTAGCAATTAGTGTTATGTGTCTAGCCCTTTCTTTGGAGCAGAGGGAACCCTTGGATATAGGTTTCTTGCTAGTTGGAACTCACCAGTCAGCAAGGCGTATCTGCAGTCTTGAAGGAACTCATGTCCCTTCTGAGATTAGAACCCGCGTCACCCAGTGAGTTCTGCAGTCAGAGACGTTACCACTTAGCTATTCGGGATTGCGATTGACCTCCTGCAAACCGGACTGATCTAATTCACTCTCCACCAAAGAAAGGGCTAGACACGTCACACTAGTTATTAGTGTCCAATCAAAGTACCCCCTACAGTCGTAAAGGAGGTCAATCGCGAGCCCGAATAGCTCAGTGGTAACGTCTGTGACTGGAGAACTCACTGAGTGACGCGGATTCGAATCTCAGAAGGGACATGAGTTCCTTCAAGGTTGCAGATACGCCTTGCAGACAGGTGAGTGCCAACTAGCACGAAACCTAGGTGGAAGGCTTTCTACCGATTCCCTCCAACCATCTAATATCATCAAATCAATGATGGATTCGCAGTTATTTGGTTAACTGAAAGACCGATGAGGTCAATCAAAGTAGTGTCTGAAAACAGATACTTATCAGTCACTATGGATAGCCGCGGCGTAACAGCAGAAGGCAAGACATGGAAGCAAAAGTATATTTTCAAGTGATTAAACAGCTATTCATACCTATACAGTTTATATTCTTTAACCAATCACCAAGCGTTTGATTTTGGTTTACATTAAAGAACATGAAATAGAGTGCTCAAATACATATATTATTCTGTTGCTAATGCAGTATTGAACTGTGAAAATAGTATTCAGTCGGTAACACCAACAAATACAATAATTCTTACTGTGAGAATAATATTCCTTTGGAACTCATCGTCTGTATCGCACCATCACAGTGGCATTAGTTTACAATTATAACATTACACAATTACAGTCAACTAATTGAATAATAAACGTATCTGTTTTGTAATCGGAGAGTTCAAGATTTGATGCCTGTTGATGTCATTCATACACAAAAACATGAATGAAACAGTTAACTGTTGCTCAATGATTTTCAATGTTTTTTTCAAGCCGATTTAGTTTTGTGACGAAATCTAGTATTGGCTTACTTATATCTCTACACACCCAAAATACGAACACTAAGTAACTTGTAAGCACTACTGTTTGCTAGGTTGCTAAGAAGTGGTTAATTCTGATAGATAACAACTTCAATACGGTGATTTCTGATAAAGGTAATATATATATTTTTTTAAAGATGGATTGTACATTCAGTCATTGAGTACAACAAACCACATAACATAGATGCATGATCATTGACAAATTCCCACTAATCATATGACTTGACATTATCTTCATTTACTATGAAATGATGTAATATTACTTATTATAATATTTTGTCAAAGTTAGTCACATTGTTTAAACCCTTACCGAAATCATTTGAAAATTGATTGGTAGAAAATGCACGGTTAACAAATTTATGACAGAGGAATTTTATTAACCGCCATCTTTCATGTACAGTTATCTATCAGCGACAAATTTTCCAGCAGAGAGCGAAAATCTGTTAACGTTATTATTATTCTTATACTTTCTTGTAAACATCTTGCAGTTCTTGTAGTCCCTAATTCTAATATGATTTTGAATATTTAATTTGTAGAACAATAGTAGTTTTAATATAGGAGATATATTATAATGCCTTGGACGCTTTCATTATAGTTGATGCCTTCTATTTTTGAAATGGATATAGATAGATTTACCTAACTACAACGTGCGTCGGTGGCACAGTGGTTAGGACTCTCGCCGACCATGCACATGGTCTGAGGTTCGATCCCCTACCGACGCACACCTGATATCTATGGTCAGCCTGCAAAATTTGGGCTATCGATATCCATGCTGAAAATTCCATACTTGTACGAAAATATAGTGTGGAATCAAGCTGTAAATCAAAAAAATCAATAGATTAGGGAAAGTTGATAAGTTGATAAATATGGAAGTTTACCAACTGAAATCAAATGGACAAATATCATTGACTTAATTTGTAGTGACAGTATTTCTATATTTGTGATGGTTGAATCATTTGAACAAAAGACGACTGAAATGCAGTTTAATTATTAGGGTTTTTCCCAGTCAATAAAGTTATTTCGGGGTTAGAAGATGGTTTCGCTTATCTGAAAAAAACCCACTCTGTTAAGTGATATAAGGTTGGTATATGGTGTTCCAAGTACCAACGATCTTAAGGTAACCAATGAGAATCGGCATAAACCTTCATTCTCCGTTTTAGAAGTTTATCCTTTATCTTTAAAACATTCTAATGGAGGCGAAAACTCTTCCCTTAGTTTATATTGAAGCAACCATCCAGAGTTTACTTAGGTGATACAGCGATTGTGATGGGGAAATAGGGTTAAGAATTAACAGTGGATGGTGTTCAGAATCTAGAGACAAAAATTCATCTGGAAGAGTACCTTAAATGAAGCTTTATTCAGTAATTTGTAACCCTAGTCTTAACTTCAGTCTAACCTAACGCGAACCTTTATGTAGTCATGACCTTAATCCAGTTCTAAGTCTAGCCCTAAAGAATTGTCGACTAGATGAACGTCGATACTGGAAGTTATTATCACGTCATATTAAAGAAAGGTATCCTATTTGATATTTTTACATATTTTTATACAATTTTTCATAAGTATACTCAATTTTCCTTCAAATGTTTCTCTTCAGCATAGTTGATCGGCTTAAGACTGTTGTTGTATTCATTCTTTTGGCACACCATAGTTTAAATTCCTTCAATGAATTTCGAAAGTTAAATTTGACAGTTGCATAGAATCAGTACCAAATTGTATTCTGCGTTTTTGAAGTTTATCTTCTATCTTTAAACCTTTCTAAAAACAACCTCAATTGGTTGGAGGGTTTCATCATGGACTGACATCAGTTAGAGGAACATTGGAAAATCTGGGTTTACTGGACAGCCGTTTCGTCCTAGCTTGAAGCTCTTCAGCACTACGCACCCACCGGGGTAAGAACCCAGGACCTTCTTGTTACAAGACCAGCGAGCTCGTAGACCATTAAGCCACTGGGACCCGACCCAATGTCAGCTCATGGTGAAATCCTGCAAGCAATCAAACACATTTCCTACGAAACCAATACTTGAGAATTATTCTGAGGCTCACTAGCGACTGACCTTATTCAGGCAGTCAACCTGGGGTTCTAGTGGGAAGCCTAGATCAGTAGGGTGCAGCAGGTTGAAGGTGAGTCAATAACCCGTCGAAGAAGATATTCAGGAGTGTTCACACTATGTTGTGAATTGGAAGAAGTCAGAATTCAAGGGCTGGCCATGGGATAGGTCGGGTCCCAGTGGCTTAATGGTCTACGAGCTCGCTAGCCTTGTAACCAGAAGGTCCTGGGTTCGAACTTTCTGTGGTGAGTATGTACTGATGAAGAGTCCCAAACTAGACAGACGAAACAGCTGTCGAGTACTCCTAGCTGGTTTTTCAATGGTTCTCTAACTGATGTCACCCCATTATGAAATCCTCCAGCCTATGAAAGGAAAATTCCTTTAAAGCCAATACTTGAAAAAATAACTTGTATTCCTCATTTGATTAACATTATTTCTATCTTAAGAGATGTGTATGATTAGGTGTGCATTATAGTAATTAGATACTGACAGTTAGAAAGGAAACAGCTTGGATGAATTCGTCAAAGAATAGTTGATAACAAATCATTATTTATCATCTAGTGTAATATATCAGACTAATCTATATATGATCTTCACATTTATATATTAGACAGGAGTACTAGTTTATTCAGAGAATGCCTCAAAATACCAACTATTGTTTACTATTTTCTGAAAGTATGCATAACTAAAATGCCTTCAGTATAGAAGTGTGCAGTCTACGAGTTACGAAAAAAAGATAAAGTAAACCAGTCAGTGTGTTACATTAGAAATTAACTGATCATTTTCCTCATATTGATCAAATACTTACATTTAGGAATAAACCAAGTTTTGTACGCTGTATTAAACCAAATATGAAAAAGGAACCAATGGTATTCGATGATGCTATTGTTATGGATCAACTTCGCTACGGTGGTGTATTAGAAACTGTAAGAATCAGAAAATCTGGCTTTCCTGTTCGTGTCAGTTATCAGTATTTTATTGAACGGTAAGCTATTTCTACGTATGAAATGAACTATAAATATGTTTTTCTTTTGATAACAAAAGTAGGATGTTTGTATGCACAGAAGGCATCTGAAATCTAGTAAGATAATTTCAATTTTCCTTGATTCACCTGAATTTTTAAGTATTCATATTTATTGGAGTGTTAATGCAGTCTCCCTGATCAAGACGTATAACTTAAGACTGATGTGGTTTCACTAACCAGAAGCAAATACCCAGTAAAGTACTTTTAGAAGTTCAAGACTAAAGTGAAAACACAACAAGGAGTTTCAGCATCCACTGGTTGCTGCTACACAAAAAAGCTTTGTTTCCGGTATACAGTGATTGATTATGTAACTGTTATCGGTATACACGTGTGTCAACTAAAGGCGAAATCAGTGAAATTGTATTATTTGCTTTGTAAGTTATGCCATTGATAAATGTCTTTAGTACGATTTTGGTCACAGAAGTCAACTTGGATAGAGTTGATAAATTTTGAGTGAGGCACCAACTCTTAGGGCGTAACAAAATGAAAAAAAGCCACTTACTCTGAAGCGTAGTTTTCGTTTCAGATCTATAGATACAATTCAGATGCTGATATTGTTCTTGTATTCGAAGCGTTTAACAACTATTCAACAAAATCTTAACACTTTCAAAATGTAGGTTCAGTTTGAACAACAAATTAATCGATAAAGTGATGTTTCTTTTCACGGGCGAAATGTCAGAACAATCCATAAATTGTATGAACTATACTGCCACTCTTCATGAGTCATAGAAACAGAATTTTATGGCTGAAGGTAATGAAACTTATTAGCATCACATTAACTCAAAGGTGGAGGCGATTCAGTTTACTTATGATGAATTGGAAAGTCAGAAAGGGGAGCTTCCAATGTTAGATTGCAGCGTAAAAAGGAAAGAAGATGGGAAGTTAAACACTAGTGTTTACAGGAAACCCACACATTCAAACAGATATTTGGACTTCCGATCATCCCATCCTTTGTCAGTAAAAATAGGATTGGTGAAATGTTTAAGTGACAGAGCACAAAAACTAAGTAGTACCAAGGAAAATCTGAGACAGGAAGTGATACACATAAAAGAAGCCTTGAAACTTAATAGTTACCCGGATAAATTAGTCAGGAAATATGTAAGGAAACGTAAAATTAAGATAAATAATGATAGTAGTGATAGTGATAATAATAATAGTAATAATAATAATATCTAAATCATCAGTAGTAATTCCTTACAAGGAAGGAACCTCGGAAACTTTACGCAGAATTCTTAACAAGGTAGGAATAAAAGTGGCTGGCATTCAAACCCACAAACTCTATTAGAAACAAGCTTTGTCGGTTAAAAGATCCTGTGGAGCCTATAAAACAAAACACTTTAGTTTATCTAATACCCTGCTTGCAATGATTGTCAGGTCAAATACATAGGTTAAACTAGTAGAACAGGGGCAGTCACACTAGCCGAACATAAAAACCTAGCAAAATCTAGATTGGTTGACCCAAATAAGATAAGAAATCTAGAGAATAGTCCAGCCATAGCATTACATGCAATTACACATAACATGGCCTTACACTGTGATGGGGTAAAATGACAATTTTAAAATCTAATGTCACAGGAAGAATGGAGGGAGAGATTAATAACAGAAGCTTTGTTTATCGAATCAACTGAGAGGGAATATGTGTAATAGGGATGATTCAACACCTGTCCACCCAGATATCTGGAAAATTCTACTACCCCAACGACGACAAATAATAGAAAACAAAGAAAACTATAAAACTTAAGTTTCGAAGTCGTGTGATTATAATTGATATGATTATGAACAATAAATTTTGTTCGAAACGTCATCCAGTAAATACTAATACTGTTTCACTGTGTGATATATCTAATAAACAAATTAATATGGAATTACTTACTACCACAGTGCCCAAGTTTTACACATATACTTATTAGCACTAAGTTTATACGTGTAATTCAAATCGAATGCAGATACGTTTTCATTACTTAATAACTTTCTCACTTTGTTTCAATGAACTGCATGACATATTCCCTATTTTATGGTGTGGACTTTAAAAGACATCAGTTTTCTGGTGTTTATTTATTACATTCTCCCATTGCTTATCTCATTGCATAGCTGACAAAAATGTAGGCTATTTTGAACATTTCATAAGCGCAAACCTGAAGGAAACTCAATTTGCTTTACTTATAAGTATTTCGTCTTTTTTTTTATTTCTAATATCCTACAGATACTCATTTCTTCTTAACCATGAGAAGAGAATACAACTGAAAAGAATAACAGATTCACGTGAAGCAGTCGCTTGGATATTAATGAATATAACTATCCCATTTGGTAATCAGGCACCAATTCAAAAATGTGTTGACTATGAATTCGGCAAGACTAAATTATTCCTACGGAATCAATTAGCTGTTAATTTAGAATCTCTTCGTACAATTAAAGAATTGTGTGCTGCTCGAACAATTCAGAGAGCTTGGAGACGCCGAGATAATGGTTTAATTGAAAGAGCACGTCGTAATGCAGCTAGAGTTATTCAAGCTTGGTATAGAGGATATTTAACAAGGTGAGTTCTGCGCAGAAAAAAGATTATTATAGGCAAAAGTTGTTTTAGTTTTCAGTTTTTTTTAAATTGTATTATCTTCAATTCTCACCCCCTATTAAATTTCTATCCCTTAGTACCAATGCTGTCGACTTGACTCTCCCTCAATTTTAGTTGACTTCTACTCAATCCCATCAGTTATGTTACATCCTTCAACTTATTTAATTAGTTTTCGAGTATTGGTTTTGTAGGGATTTGGTTTGATTGCATGGAGGATTTAATCATGAGCTGACATCAGTTAGAGAACCGCTGGAAAACCTGGGAGTACTGGATAGCTGTTTCGTCAGCCTAGTTTGGGACTCTTCAGCAGTACGCACCCACCGGGATTCGAACCCAGGACCTTCTGATTACAAGGCGACCTCGTAGACCATTGAGCCACTGGGACCCGATTCAATGGTCCTTGAATTCTAACTTCTGCCAATTCACGATATAGCGCAACCACTTCGCAATGTCTTCTTCGATAAGTTACTGCCTCATCTTCAACCTGCTGTACCCTACTAGTCACGGCTTTCCACTAGAACCCCAGGTTAACTGCCTGAATAGGGCCAGTCACTAGTGAGCATCAGATTATATTTTAGTTTCTACTCGATTAAGGATTTTTACATTGTGTAGTTGATAAAGCAATACGAAGACGTCATTTGTCTGAATCGTGTAATGTATTTGGGCAACACATTTCGAATAATCTGATCACACACGAACTTGTTTTAGGAATATATATTATTAATTTCATATATATTTTTGTGACAAGTCCGTGTGTGATCAGATTGTTCGAAATGTGTTTCGCAAATACATTACACGATTCAGACAAATGACGTCTTCTTATCGCTTTATCTAAATTCTAAAGGGAACTAATTGTTTTAAATTGTGTAGTTGGCTACCTAAAATTTAACAAATCTGATGACACATCTTTGTAGGTATTCCTCTTGTTGCTAAGAGAATTTAATATGTATATGTGTGATTGTACGGCCTGTGAATGATATCACTGGGAGAAGTAACTCTTTGCTGAACGTTTTAGCTTTTTATTTGACTCACTGAATGATGTAAATAATTAGAAACCAGTAAACAAAATCACCAACAAGAAACTATGGGCACAAACAAACAAAACAATAACCAATCGCCAACCAACAAATATGCAGGAGAAAGTGGAGATGGATTGGACACTCGTGGCTGAGGAGACCGGTGGGTGACATCGCGCGCGCGTCAGGCCGTTGCTCGAGTGGAACCCGAAAGGGAAGCGGCGAGTGGGCAGTCAGTGCAAGGGTGACATGGAGGAGATCGTGTGAAGAGGAGTTGGTTGAAACAGTATGGACTAACATGGATGTAGGTGAAAAGTAAGCACAGCAGAAGATAGAAACAAGTGGAGACGTGCAATTAAAGCCATATGTTCCACTAGGAACCCGAAGGATTAATAATAATAAACAATTCGTGCTGGCTAACTAACTACGAGTAATTTCAATGCCGAATGCCCAATTCCAACTATTCACATCAGTCAGTAATATATATACCATCTTGCTTATTTGCTTAGGTTCTGGATTACTATAAACAGATGAGTCATTATGTGATACAATTCTTCCCTAGATTTATTGGTACTTTCTGCCTTGAATTAGGTATCTTGTGTGCAAACACAATCCACTTTCTATGTGAAAAATATTTTTTAACAGACATTGTGAAGATGACTTTTTCTCATCTGAATATAATTCCAAGTAAAATGATCAATATAGTGACGATAATAATAGTATTTATTGTTACATTTATTGCTTTAATAATAATACAGCACAGAAGGGTACACATTTTATGTATAGAAACAAAAATAAACTGATAGACAATCAGGCATATAAAATCATACAGACGAATCAATAATATTTTTATAACTTTTATGCAGTGTAATAATGTTGGTAAAAAAAGATTTTATTTCTGAAGTTTAGGAATGTGTCTTGTTATCAGTATAATTCTATACTAATTTGTTTGTAAATTTAAAGTGATTTGTATTGAACACCTATACACACACACAAAGACAAACAGAAAAACTTTCACACACTACGCACACACACACACTATTATTTTGCAGCGTTTTTATACCATAGTATAATAAGCGTGATTGAGAAGGAAGAGGCGGAAAAACAGAGAAATAAGTGAAAGTTACTTCACTCTTTTAGTAGGCAGTGTAAGCGTGGATTGATGAAAAAAAAATATTCAAGTAGGGATTCGGTTGATTGGTTACAGGATTTCATCATGAGCTGACATTGGTTAGAGAACCATTGGAAAACCAGTTGGAAGTACTGGACAGCTATTTCGTCAGCTTAGTTTTGGACTCTTCAGCAGTGCGCACCCACCTACAGGGTTTGAGCCCTGTACCTTCTTGTTACAAAGCCAGCGAGCTAGCTCGTAGACCATTGAGCCACTGAGACCCGATCCCATGGCCCATGAATTAAAATGGATGATTTCTATGCAGTGTAATTGAACTGACAAACTAACTCTTGAAAATCAGTCTGATGCTTGCTAGTGACTAGCTACAGGACGTAGTTGCCTGGAGTGCTAGTGAAAAGTCGTGACCGCTGAGGTCCATCTGGTCGGGATTGAGGACAAATACTCACCAATGTGACACTGAGTGATGGTTGCATTAAAATCATGGATCGATACAAGCTAGAATTTCTTGGGCCACTTATTTAGGTCCTAGTGACTAGATGGTCTGCTAGTTTCATTTGTAATGAAACGTCCTGGGTTTGAACCCCAATGATTGCGCACAGCCGATGATTCCCTAACTAGGACGTGTTAGTTGTCCGAAATTTCATGATTTTCGATAGTTCTCTAAGTGATATCAATCGGTCGTCAAACATCCAGTTACAGAAATAGAGAGATCCCTGAAAATATACACCTTGACTGCTATTAAAAGCAAAATTTAAAATAATAGAATTTGACATGTATCCCTAACACGTTGATTTCAGTATGTTGTTTCCATTTTTTGATAACATACACTGATTCAGTAGATTGTCTTTCTTACTTTTATGCATATTCTGTTGAAAAATGGTGTTCAACAATGCCAAGAACCTGTTAATATCTTTTTCTTATGCAACTGAAGAAAAATAATCGAGTTTCATGAAAATTAAGGATCACTTAACGGTGGTCCATTTTAGATTGGAATTTGTTAGCGATTAGGTAACAAAATTACGATAGGAATTAACACCAGAACTTTATGATTTCGACTCATGCACGATACGATTCAGCTGGCATGTCAGAATTCATTAGTCGGTGAATTCTAATTCTACTGCATATTTTAAGGTACGATGATCTTTCAGCTGTTGGATGTTTTTGTTTAGTTTCCCTGGTTTTCTCATATTGTCTGTAGTGTTTTATACACAGCATTGTTACGTCTCAACTGTGCTATATAGTTTGGAGCTTCAGTGTGCAAACATTCTGTCAGATAATGATTATCCATGGGATCCAGAATGTGCATTTTATTCTATCCGTTACTCAGATATATAATTAAAGTTCAAGATAACAGTTTAAACAGACAACAGTCGATATCTTTGAAAAAAAACTACTTCTCATTACACTAGTTGACAATGATGTGGAATTTGGGATGGCGGGGTAGAGTGTCTTATAGAAAATACTACCACTTATTTGATTACAAGCTACAACCTATAACTAGGAAAGTGGCATAGAAATGGGATTGAGAACAACATCGATGCTTTTTGTTAATAATAATTCATCAATTTCAGTTATTTTAAATTCGTGAATTGTCTGATTTGAATATGAACTTGTTCAAACCACATATTGCACAATCTAGGCGTTCCTATTAATTCCCCTGGCAAAGAAAATAACTATTGGCAGGAATAAAGCCTTAATGCATGTTTACTTTCTACTCTTCTGTTTCAGACGTACTCATGCTGATGTTGTAGAATATTTATCAAATAGAAACAAGGTGAGATATTCATTCGGTTTTGAAATTCTCAGGTTAAACTGGACTACTGATCATATATATATATATCCTTAATAGTTAGTTGTACAGCGAATACATATTAGGTAGGGGCTAGGTATTTAACTCGGGAACATTATCCACCTTGGCTGCAAAACCGTGACACTCGTTCAATCAGAAGTGCTACAATCAAACACTGCATTAGCATCTGTCATAATATCTTAACCGACTAATCGTTCAGATTTATTTACAAAGATCCAAGAAAAATAATAAAAGTAGAATACTTCTGACCATTATGTAATGCAAAAGGCGGAATTATTTGTCCAAAAGAAACTCATCTTTGTTGGCTTAATCATTGAGAATTATTATTATTGCTTCCATTAGTTACTAGAGGAACATAGGGCTTCAGCCGCGCGTCTCCATTGCCTTCTATTTTCTGCCAACTTATTCACCCCGCTCCAAGTCTGCCTACATGCTTTCATCTCCTCCTCATATGACCTCCTCCAAGTTACCCTTGGACGACCAACTCACCGCTTCCCATTCGAGTCCCACTTGGTGGCCTGGCGTGTGATGTCACTTGATGGTTTTCTCAGAGTATGGTTAATCCATCTCCATTTCTTCCTGCTTATATCTTGCACAATCGGTTCCTGGTCGGTTCGCTCCCAGAGATCCCTGTTGCTGATGCTTTCCTGGCTGGCCATCTGATCTTGAGTGGTATTGAGCGAAGATAGCTGTCGATGAAGGTCTGTAGTTTGTTTAAGGTGCTCTGAATGACACACCAAGTCTGTGATCTGTATAGTAGCACTGACTTTACACTGGAGTTGAAAATCCAGATCTTGTTTTTTATTAGGAATTGTAACCACTGTCAAAAAATGGTAGATGCAGTGTTTCTTTACCAATTAGAAAATGAATATGAAATCCATTTTTTAATTTACACAGTTTTGTTTCTTTGTTAATGCACTAGACAAAAGCGTTTAGTAAAACACAACTTTAGATATTATTCATCATTTCAGCTGTCTTCATTTAGTTAAAATGAATAGGTTCAATGATATTCTAATTGATAACAGTTTCGTGGACCTATTTACCACTGATTAGATGCTAGAGACGACGTAATAGTTATCGGATGTATTAGTTGGTTTATTTTAAAGATTATTAATACCTGTAGATGAGGATTCCGATAGCTTTTAATAACATAATAATAGTGTAACATCAGAAGACAAAGGCGAGGCAACAGATTATTTATTGAGAAAATTGAGAGGTATTTATAGATTTTTAAGTATATTATTGTCAGTGGCGAAGCAACATCTGGCTGGTTGTTTTCTTGCTGAAGGTTACTCTGTAGTGCATGTAACCGTTTCTTAGAAAGTTAAGCCATATCTCTACGATTTGTATTTACACACGTCAAGTTTGCTATGATTGGTTGGTAAGTTCCTCAAGGTTAAGCTTTGTTATTGTTCTTCTCATGACCCCGATTCGGGACGTAACATTGGCGTAAACTGCTGTCTACGAATTCGGCTTGTTCGCAGCCAACTCTCACCACAATAGTGATAATGGTGACAATGATAACTTAGTGAAGCGAATTTGAAGCCTTTTTATTATTATTATTATCGTTTTCAAAGGTGAAATAAGAATTTCCTCCACAGAAATTAATGCTGTAACTGTGTTATCGAATAAAAAGGTAAGAAATGGTTATTCGGGAATAAAACAGGAAAGAGTAGACGGTAAATGGAAATCATCTTATTGACATCTAATGGTCGAGTGTAATAGAACATACTGAGGAAATAAAAGCCCATCTGGACAGATGTGAGACTTTTTCATCGAATTACAATTTATGACTTATTACTTGTCAAAGAAGTCATTGGAGAATTTTTACCGCCTTTGAGGCTAAAACTATATGGAAGGCTAGAACAATAAAGATAGGAGATTTCAATCCTGTAGTTATTATTGTTCGACTAGGAACACTTTCATTTCTTAGGCAATTTAGTACGATAAATCAAGATGTGACTTGACTGTTTATAAGTAAATAATTTCTCATTTTTCCTTTAGGAGCAACCGGTCAGTGTACCACCAGAAGTAAGTTGATTAAATTTTTAATTTCATGGATGTATTTCTTCATAATTAGTCATTTGAACCATGTTAATTCAAGTAATTTCGAGTTCCAGACTCGTTTCCTTTTGAAGATCTAGAATATCTAGGTCACAAAATGTAATCTGCTTGAAACCATAATCCAGAACCATGAAAGTATGCAAATTAGCAAAATGGTATGGTGTTTGAAACACTTTGATCTGGTTGCTAAGTATTACTAGTTGATGTGATTATTTGTAAGTACTCATACTAATCAATAAAAAAGACTGACTGTCAAGTCTCTTGAAGAGAGAGGAGTAAATACCTTTCCAAATTTCACTCATTTGATCAATCCTCCTTTAAAAACCCACTTATTCATAAGTTACGAAAGTTATATAAAGCTTATGAGGATTAATTTTTGTTCTTACCCTTACCTTAAAATTCAGCTTCAAAATACCCGCTAGAACAATTTTACTGCATTCACTCAATACAGCTGACAATTACACAGAGTTACTTGCTGGACATACATTGCAATATTTTAGATTATGCCGAATAGTTGAGGTTTATATAGAATTGTTATTAGGGTGTAGCTGGTGTACTGTGTGCAGTTCTTAGTATTTTTTTACCTTGTACTCAAAATATCCATTATGGATGTCTAGTATGGTCTATACAGTGTGTTGTCAATTTTGCGTGTTAGTTGTTCTAACAATGAGGATAGAGTGAAATATTTGCTTCCTTGTCAAAATTCATCTCTGTCTTAGCTGAACTGCTGTGCTTATCTGACACATTCATCTGAAATCCTCGGTTATCTGCCATGCACATAGTCCGAAGTTCGATACCCTGCCGACGCACATCTGATCACTATGATCGGCCTGCAAAATTCGGGCTACCGATATCCATACTGAAAATTCCATACTTGTACCAAAAATATAGTGTGGAATTAAGCCGTAATAAAAAAAAATGGATAACACAGCAAGTTCAAAGTAAAAGCAAATAATTTCCGAACACACAGAAACAGTTTAAGCCTTTTTATGAGTAAGGCTTCAGTCGATTTAAGTGTGTGTGTGTGACCTGTTTTATACATGTCTTAAAAACTACTGAAATCAATTTCTTGACGTGTCTCTGGAATGTGATTTGCCATAGACGACACTGGAAATCTATTTTCGGGACTAATTGACTTAAGGGATTTTATCGGTTCTTGCGACCATTTAGGGATGTGTTCTGTAGCCCTGACCTGCAAGGGTCGATAAGTCCTTCCATATATATATATATATAAATTAGTAAACACAGAGGGATGTGACAGTATCGCTTCGATGCCGTGAGGGTTTACAGGACAACATAAATCTCGTCTTCTCTATGCTTAGCTTACACTAACCTCTGGACACATTCAGAATTGAAAGCACATGTAAAGTGTTTAATTTTCTAGAGTTTTTGCTTGATTAACTTATCTCCTCATATCTGAAATACATATCACAATGATATAAAATCATGTAGACAAATCGAAATAACAATGTAGTATCTGAAAAAGAGAGTTCATCCACTAAGAATATCACAGGAAGAAAAAAGAGGATTAGAATGAGTAGATTAATAGAAGCAGACTGCAATAATCAATAAACATGTTGGATTACTAGACAATAGAGAATAAATGTTGAAAACGTCGATGATATATTATCTATTTGTCTACAGCAATGTAATTCCTTGAGTGTATAGGTTAAATTCTATTACAGTCGATAATTTGATATATAATTACTGATACGAAGAAACGTTGAGTAAATATTTTATTCACTTTTGTAATTTCTTGTATTACTGAGCTAAATACTCCGAACGATCTGTTCATCATTTATTAACTGATGATCGTAATTAAAGTAATGATAATTTTTTTATTTTCTGTGACTTGTTTTTTGTAATTTCTGCATTTTTTAGGAAATACAGAAAAGTGGAAAACCTGTAAAATCGTTAACTGAATACGAAATAAAACGTTTAGAAGTTCCCGGTGATTTAGCCTACATTTTAGAACATCGAAGTATAAGTTAGTAAAATTGCAGAATTTTACATTTAATTTCATAACTAAAATATTCTACATGTAATTTAATATTTGATGCCATTAATTTTATTTCATTTCAGAAGTATTTAAATTGAGTAGTTTAATTATATTTGATAATATTTATATCATTTAAAAGATTTTAAATACAGTCTGTCTAATTGTACTTTAATTAGGAGAGATGGTGACTTCTATCTCATTTTAAATGATAAAGGTCTTTGTACACAGGATGAAAATAGAGTTCAACATTTTTGTAAGGAATGAAAGCTAATAAACTTACATAAGAGTTTTATCATTGTTAAGGATTCACGGACTATTTTGTTAGATTTCACCACTACCATGCATTACTAAGAGAACCATTAGAAAATGCTAAGCACTATATAGCTCTTTTATTTTGTTTTCAAGAGCTTTGGTTATGCCTGTTCGTGACCCCAGAACTGTCAGAATTTAGGAGTACTAGGTTATGAAAGATATTTCCTACAATTCAACCTCAACCTTTGATGTGACAATAGATACTCACTGATAATACTAAACGCCAGTTAACCTATATTTCCAGTTGTTGAAAGTAAAAATTCAAAAGCCATTGGATTCTAACTTACTGATTAAATAGTAGAACTCTGGCCTCAACATCTGACTGTCTCTTGAAACTACGCGTCGTGATATTTTTTCTCAGATATGGGCAGTTATTGGGAGAAAATTCTGGGCTATAGTTTCGGGGAGAATGGCATTGGTCAACGACGTGTTTCTATAGTACTCAAGAAACTTATATTCTCTCCTAAACTCGAGAATTTATCACCTAGATGTGGCGTTTAAGATCAATCAATTTACACTGTGTATAATATGTGTACTGCATGTAGAAATACCTCTTTTTCGTCTAAAAAGTTATCAAAACAATAATTAGTTCCCTGAAATGACCTGTAATTTATTCTACTTTAGTAGCTAAGTACTACTATTACTTGCGTCGATGGCACAGCGGTTAGGACTCTCGCCGACCATGCACATGGTCCGGGGTTCAATCCTCCACCGACGCACACCTGATATCAATGGTCGGCTTGAAAAATTTGGGCTACTGATATCCATGATGAAAATCCCATACTTGTACCAAAAATACAGTGTGGAATCAAGCCGTAATAAAAAAAATAAAATAAATAATACTTACTGTTTGGTAGGGCTTCAGTGGTACTAATTCCTCCGCCATCACATACAGTTAACTCTACGACCACCCACAAGCCTTAGTTTGCTACTCACATGATTTTCAACTTATCAGGCTTGGGCGTCCAACCCTTCGCTTCCTTTTTGGGTTTTATTTAAGAGCCTACCTTTAGTATGATGTCACTGAAAGGTATCTTCAGTGTATATCCAACTTAGCCGTTTCCTTCTTCATATTGTTGACTAACGAGTTTTTGCCTAATTAGCTGCACCACCGCAGTTCCTTGCTGCTTATCGTTTTCGGCTGTGTAATCATCAGTATCCAGCGAAGACAGCTGTTAATGAATGTCTACAGCCTTTGGCAAATGCTTTGGGTCACTCAGTAGGTCTCTGAGTGGATTCTAATAGTGAAAGCTACTACACATGACTGTATTTAACCACTTTTTACGTCTATAGGCTGTTGAGATATTTTTTTTCATACACTTTACCTTTTGAGCTGCTACCTGAGTTTGCAACAACTTATGAAGTTATTTCAAAATGGTTTGTTTGAAGTTCCAAAGTCAATGAATGTTACACATTAGGAGAATATAAGCTTCTGTATTAAGAGAGAACAAATTGGCATCCTCAATTAATCGATAAAAATATTCTCTTGACATTCTGATTTCCATTCGTTTGATTGGACGCTAGTAACTAGTGTGATGCGTCTAGTCCTTTCTTTGATGCAGATTGAATTCTATCAGTCAGGTTTGCAATGTGGTTACCATTCTAGGTGGCTCGCTATCAAGGTGCACTTTGAATTCTTGGTGTTAGATGGTTGGAGGCTATCGGCAGGAAGCCTTGGACCTAGGTTTCGTGGTAATTGGCACTTGTTTAGCAAGGCGTATCTGCAACCTTGAAGGAACTCATTTCATTTCTGAGAGAAGGCTTCCTTCCGATTGCCTTCAATCACCTAACATTAAGATTTTCATTCCATTTAATACATATCAAAAAGTGAGCGATTTTTATACTAAATTCTATTATTGCGTTTCTATATCTCAATAATATACTAAACTAGGTCAAGAATCTTGGCTTGAAATGCACAAAGTGGTTAAGCCTTCAAGCTGCATCCGTCGGTTTGCACCAAACTACGTTTCATCCTCCTGGCATAGCTACGGTAGACCAGTTTGGCGTGCTGCGCCCATTTCCCACCTGCTACAAGCATCTGGTTCATCGGTAAGATTTAATCATTTTTGTTTATTGACTTACCTTCTTACGTATAATTTCATATTAAAGTTTGGAAATTTTTATAATTTACCTTAGTTTTCAAGTATCGAATACATTATATTCAGTAGTATATTGTTAAGCTATTTCCCAAGAATTACATTTAAGTATTGCAAACATTGAAACGTTTTTCATTCTATAGTTTTTCCCTTTTGTAGAAAGAAGTATATATATATATATATATATATATATATATATATATATATATATTAAAATTACAAAAGCTGCAGCTTCATCTGTTAATAAAGGCAATTAATACTAGTAGTTTGTAAAATGACAAACATGTACTACAAAAAGACGAAAAGGATCTACACCAGTCAGGCAGAGTGTTTGAACTACTGCCAACGTGTTTACAGGCCTGTCTTTATACAGGCTGAGCCGTGAAACCGAATTTCGGACAAAATCACATCATTACGGTCATCACAGATAATGTGCAACCGTGATGAATAATTGTTCATTTATCCTGATAATATTTACCCCTCTGTGCCATCTGTCATTCCTAGTTAGATGGAATTAGAGAAAGAACAGCAAGTTATTGATTGATGCACAAATTATCTGGGGTAGTCTTGTATTACTAGCCTACTATTAATATATATAATGGGCACAGTAGAAACTGATGCCAATTCTCCTGCGATTCAGATTTTTACTTCATCGTCAGTCGTCACCCATTACTCCAATACTAATATTCTAGTCCACTATAGATATGGTGTGTTGATATTATTAGTTATTACGATGACTTAATAGGAATTTATACGAAGAATGAAGATTGGATCGGATTAAACCAATACATGAATAGTGCTCAAAGATGATTTACACAAAAAACAATAGGATAAAACAACTCAGCTATAGCAGAACAACAAACTAACAAAACAATGTGGGGTGAACCATTCGTTCCTTTTATGCACATAAATAAGATTTCAGTCGACTGATTTTCTATAACCCAGAATTTTACTTTCGTTCTATCGATTTATTACACAAAAGAGCTTTGTTCGAGCTTATCATTACTATCACTAATTCTTCAGTGAATGCTCAAAAATACTAAGCGAGAATCTCTTTCCTTCTTACCTGCATACTCCCTTAGTTGAAGGCAAATAAACAGATCCGATTGTCTTATCTTTTAAACCACTGCATGGCAGTATGAGTTTGTGCATTGCATTTAATGAGTTGTAGATAACTTTGTAGTGTGACTTCAACACTATTGAATAGTGGTTTTATGAAAACATTTCTCTTAGACATAAATATTTTGACGTAATTTTCGTCTTTGGTATTAAACTGGTTGTTGTTAAGGGGTGTCCTTAGAAAGTTTTGACGTGTGTGGTAAATCAAATGTTGTAGTACCGATGTGCTTGTGACTTCAATCCTCTTGTTAACTTTATTGTCTCATGTCATGTGACATATTGTCAACATTTTTTTTCTATTGTTGACATCTTTGCTTATCGTTTTTCTATCTACATCTTAATTTTTCTTCATTATACTGATGTGACGTATGCCATGTAGTACAATTAGACAGTTTTACTACATTTGTTGTTGCATTTTTATTTAATAATATATCTCAACAGGCACAACTTGGCTATCGTATAGCACCACGTGAACGTCCAATATTTTTAACACGACCAAATGAAAAACTGACTGCTGCTTGCGTAGCCGCTTCAAAATTGGTAATTTGTGTTTGTTTTTTCTCCTCTCTATTGTTCATGACAAAATTAATCAAGAAAAGTTCGTATTTATCATACTATATACATGCATTCCTTAAGTTTAAATTTATCATTGTTAGGATTCAAATGCATTCATTTATTTTAACAGCAGTGATTGGTTTTCAGAGTAAGCTGTGTTTCATCAAAGAAATGTAGGCATAATTCTCAATCGAGTACTTGTCAGTAAAGATACACTGTATTCGTTTTTCGGCAAAGTTCAACTATAGCGTCCCAAGGGGGTGGTAACGCATGAATGACTGTGAACCGACCAATCGTAGGAATAAGTGATTTTTGCTCAGAAAATGACGCACATTTAAAAGAAAATGCATGAAAACATATTAAACAAGGTGTCTTTTTCTAACATGGCTTAAAGATAGGTCCCAGTTATAATGAGGAGTATCATTTGCTGAGTTAGACTAGTTTCTGTACATGTATTCATCGAGGTGACTGAAGATGAACTGTTTTTGTGAATCGTTCATCTCTCTCATCCTGTTGTGCAGTCTTCTCCAAAAGCCCTTGGTTGGATTACTATGGTTTCCAGTAAGAGGATCGACGACTACTTACCAGGAAAATGTGGATAAGTAAACAAATTAAAATTGACATTAAAAATGACATCAACTCTAAATCTTTCCCTAGTCGTAACTCTAACCGTAAACTTAACACTAACCCTAACCTTCATCCTAACCCTAATTACAGCCCTTGTCCTAACCGTAAACCTAATCCTAATCCTAATTATGACCCTGATCCTAAAACTAACGAGCTATTAACACATTGTCGAAACAGTACTTAAAAAGTGATCTGAGTGAAATTTACTGCTTAGTTGGTGACTTGCGTTGATATTTCAGCTATGATAGTGACAGGTGCCGTCAGCCAGTGACTAGGATGCGTTCAAGGTCATTGGAGTGTTCGCACTCCCGGGACGCTGTTGTTGAACTTCGCCTTTTTTTTCAACGTGATATACATGTAAATCAAACTATGCTGTCCCCTAGGGTAATACATTCAGTTTTACATAAACTTGTGGAATGATTCTTAAATACTACATTTTGTGGTATAATGTTACTATAATACAATATGCTTTCCGGATTCAAAATTTATACATTTTTATTGTGAGCGTCGGTGGCCCAGCGGTTAGGGCTCTCGCCGAACATGCACATGGTCTAGCGTTCGATCCCCCGCCAACGCACACTTAATATCAATGGTCGGCCTGAAAAATTTGGGCTACCGATATCATATGCTGAAAATTTCATACTTGTACCGAAAATACGGTGTGGAATCAAGGTATGATCGAAATAAATAAAAAGTATATAATCTTAGAAGTATAAAAGCAGGGTGATTACTAAAGTGCGTGTTGCCAGTATTTCATTATCGGAAAAGGAGTGGCAGTAATGGTACAATGTCAGATGACAATATAACTACTGATAGGTAATCAGAGTTATGAATCATTTTCTAATAATTTAGGTATTTAATAATAAAATAGGCTTGAGTAGCTGGCTGAAATTTGCGCATTTCTTCACAGTAAATTACTATTACGCTATTGATAAGTGAGGATAAGACTATAGCGTTCTACTGAGTACACTTTAATGTATTTTAGCCACTCTGTATTTTAATAGATTAGTTATTGACAAGCATTTACAAAACTTTTTAACTGCTTATCCCAGACTCAAAGAAGCGAAAATTAGGTGATCGAATAAATGAACCACACTTTCATCTGACTTGACTGATATTCGTTTTCTACACTTTGTTTTTTTGAAATTTTGCAGATTTTACGACTACTATTCTTACCAGACATATCATTATATGAACAATTTCTAGTCGGTAGTTATTTGTACCAATTGGTAAGTGATGAATGCATATTGAATTGATTTCGTTCTATTTGTGAATTTTTCTCTTTGATTTGTAAGTAAGTTAAACTGTTGACCTTGTTATTGCATAGCATTAATTAGTATTACTACGCATAGATTGATACATTCAGATTTACATAATTCTCATTGATGTACAGATGAATAATGAAGAGAAATTATGCACAGTAGGATGAGACACTTCACTGATGGTTTATGTACAATCAATTTGAAAACATACAGATATTTAGTGGACAGTTATCTTAAGTATGTAATTCCACTTCTTCTCGAGGATCTATTATTATTATTATTCCCTTGGGTTCCAAATGGAACATAGGGCTTCAACAACACATTTCCACTTTCTTTTATTTTCTGCTGTCCTCTTCAGCTGGGTTCATGATTGCCCATTATCTTTCATCTCCTTCTCTCAAGATCTTTTCCGTGTTACACTTGGACGACTCATTCGTTGCTTCCCATTGGGACTACATTCAAGCAATGGCCTGTATTGCGCGCGATGTCATTGGACGGTTTCCTCAGTGTATGTCCGATCCATCTGCATTTTCTCATACATATTTGTTAAGCAATCGGTTCTTGGTTGGTTTGATCCACTGCAGAGTTTCTTGTCGCTAATTCTCTCTGGTCTTACACTTGATCTTCAGTATGGAGTCAGCGAAGTCGGCAGTTGTTGATAAAAGTGTGTAACTTGATGGATGTGGTTTTCGTGACACGAGCGCAGTGCAAGTTTCTGACCCATATAGCAGTAGTGATTGACTCGACATTTAAAAAAAATGTTTGAGAACTATTTGTCTCAGTCTTTAAACAATTGCTTTGACTTTCATTTCATCTGGATTAATGCATTTTTTGTGAACTGCTAGCTGCAAATAACAGAAAATCTAGATTATGGGCTTTTGTAGGAATTCGGATTGATTTTGGATGTGAATTTCGGAAACGAGCCAACTTGAGTTAGATAGCATTAAAGTCCTGAAAGCACTAGACAGCTGTTTCTTCTCAGTTTGGTATCGTTGAACAATGCACACCCACAACCCCATCTTGGATCGAACTCGGGACCCTAAGGTTACGAGACCAGTCTCGTTGAACATTCAGGCATTTCAATCGGAATTTATTGATCAGTGAATTATAGTTGTGTCAATCCGATCAACGCCTTGGATTAGTATCCACGTTACCTTGACATAGTTGATCTCACTGGACACGACTTTTCATCGCAGTTTTAGAGCATCCGTCCAGTAAATATTTTCAAGATAACGAGGTATAATTAGTCATGCACTGATATCAGTTAGACAACCATTAAAATCTAAGATGAACTGTGTATCTATTTTGTCATAGTTTAAGATATTTCAGTCTTTATCTATGAAGCTTAGTGTTAACGAGCTTATTTCATAATTCCAAAGTTCTCAGCTCATTCTGCAATAGGGTTATGCACGTGCATAGCTAACTGTAAGATATCCTGAACTGAGATACGCATGACCTATTCAAGCTGATTTTTCCTCTTATAAATTTTATGAATTGGTAAACTTCACTCTGATTATAAACGTGTTTTGCAATTAAACCTATTAGTAATGTCTGCACACACACACTCACTTTTTTAAAACCTCCTGGTAAAAATAACAAATTAGCATTTTTCCTTCCAACATTCAGGCTCTTTGTCAGAAATCTCTTCAAAAGGAATATCTTATACAATTGTTGAGTATGACATTAAATTGGCCTGACTCAGCTGGAGACTTAATAACATCAGATGCCGAAGATGAACCAAGTGAATTTAATCCAGAGACTAAATATCCAGGATATTTCTCCTCAAAACCAAATAGTCCAGTGATTGTAAAATCATCAGTTTCCGAGGCTGATATACAACGACGAGCTTACAGACGCCTTTGGATGCATATTGCAGGAATGCTTACTTGTGGTCAATTGTCACAAACGCTTACACCAACCATAGTTCGGTATGCTTTATTTAAAAGATTTTTGCTTTCTTTAGCTTTTGAGTAGAAAACCAAGTTTGTCCTATCTCATAGTGCCTTATTTTTATAGACCGAAACAATGAGATATATTCATTAAATATATTTGAGGTGGTAATGTCAGCTTTTGAAAGAAGTCAGAATCTTTATGAGTTTCACCAATCGATCGTAGTTCTGAACCAAATCTGTTGCCTGACACATATCAGCAACCTCGAGAACTATTGTAACGACTGAAGACAAGGGCCAGGCAGCATATCGTTTATTGAGGAAATCAACAGATATTTATATATTTTTATGTACATTATTATTCGTTATTATTATCAGAGGAACAGAGTCTTCTGATTTGTCATATTCTCACTGGAAAATATTCTGTCATCTCTTGTGGCGGTTTCTCTGAAGGTCAGACCATATATCTGCTAATCGTATCACCCACGCAAAGTATGCTGTTATTGGTTGTCGAGTTAGTCTTTGTTTTTGTTTTTTTCTCATGACCAAGTTTCGAGGAGTAAACATTGACGTAAATTGCTGTCTACAATTTTGGCTAGCAGATACCTCTCACCATACTATTACCTTATATTCTGGTGATTTCTTTTAGGTCTGATAAATGCCGTCTTTATTTCATATTTCTCCACAGACCAGAGTAAACTGTAAAAAGCATTACTAGAATGGACAGCTGACTGACTTCCGCAATTGAGTTTCTTTTATTTTGATAAACGTCAGTATTCAGGAAGCAAGAAGTGAAAATCAAATGCAACATATATTTCTTGCTAATTTTGTTTCGATTTTCCCTTTTTGCCGTAATAAAATGCTTCTTCTCTAAAAATTATTGTTTTTAAATTCGTTTTTACCAAATTCACTTCTTTTCCGCTTATAGCTTTATAAGGGAACATGCACCTCCAAGATCAGCCCAATTATGTGAAGACCGTGTTGTATTGGAACCTTCTATCATTCGTTTGTATCCACCTTCTCTGTTAGAGTGGCGTATAAATTACACTGGAACTCATATGGGAGTTAAATTGACATTTCCTGATGGTAAGTAATAAGGAGATTCACTGTGTCAGTGTATATACAAAATAAGCGTGAAAATGTTAATTAGTTTTGAATTAATTATTGTAATATGTCTATGAAAATATTTTATTGATTTCCAAGTATTAGTTTGTAGGGATTTGGTTGATTGGTTACAGGATTTCATCGTGAGCTGACATTGGTTAGAGAACCATTGGAAAATCAGCTGGGAGTACTGGACAGCTGTTCCGTCAGCCTAGTTTTGGACTTTTCAGCAGTACGCACCCACCGACAAGGTTCGAACCCAAAACCTTCTTGTTACAAAGCCAGCGAGCTAGCTCGTAGACCATTAAGCCACTGGGACTCTATTCAGGTAGGTTGTGAATAGTAGGGTGCAGAAGATCGGGTGTGAGGACAAATACTCGCCGAAGACATTGGCTAGTGGTTGCGCTATACCATGAATTGGAACAAGTTGGAATTCAAGGGCTGGCCATTGGATCGGTTGGGTCCCAGTGGCTTAATGGTTTACGAGCTAGTTCGCTGGCCTTGTAACAAGACGGTTATGGGTTCGAACACTGTCGGTGGGTGCGTACTGCTGAAGAGTCCCAAACTAGGCTGACGGAACAGCTGTTGAGTACTCCCAGCTGGTTTTCCAATGGTTCTCCAACCAATTTCAGCTCATGATGAAATTCTGTGACCGTTTATTGATTATTAGCGAAAATTTAGTATTACAGAGAATTGTCAAGTAATGAAATTGAATGTAGCTATTTCCTATATATATATATGAACAATAAATTGTGTACGAAACGTCATTCATTTTTTCATGCTGTATGACTGTGTTTTGAAATAAACTTATCTAATATGCAATTAAGATACTCTACTTAGTTTGACGAATACATTGTACTTTTTGAGATAGTCAGAAACAGTGTCTTCTTATATTTTTAGAAGATTCTATATATATATATATATATATATATATATATATATATATATATATATATATATTCATCGTTTTATCTCACTCTATTTTATAGACTCGGATATGAATTTGTCGTCTGAAACCTAGACGTATAGTAAATATTGTTGTTTTCTCTTCATTGGTGCAGGATACGGCAACAAATGGGAGAGTTTGTGACTGGTTGGCAAACAGAAAACATAATTAACTACTGATCAGAATACATGTTAACTCTCAGATATTTGAATTTTTCAACATACCTAAATTTTATCCTTTCTTACGACTCTCTTTTTAATTTTTCAATAAATTGTGTATTTTTAAAAAGAGTATAATTGCGTGAATTCTCAGCTTTTTTTTCTATTAATTCTGTCTTCATCTGTTAACTTTCTTCCTACAGGTATATTGTCAATTTTCCATCTTAATAGTTTTACACGAGCTGAAACAGTAGCCGGTATGGCTTTAGCTTACAGGTGAGCACACAGATGTGTTAATTCATTTTATTGGTTTCTTCATGTATTAATCGAAACAACTTTGGTAGTGGTAAAACAGTATAGTGGTGATGTATTCTTTAGAATGTTTTGTTTGACTTTACAAACTGGCAAACACGTTTGCGGATAGGATACCCTTTCAATGGATTGCGTTAATCTGATAAATTGACATATACATTGGCAATCTTAACAGGGTGAACTGTAATATTACTCAATATTGACGTATTTGTTACTTGAGATCACATGTTTCGAAAAATGTCGACAAACTCATTGTAAAATATTCGAAGATTGATTGTAGAATGGTAAGAACAGTTTTCGAAAATTCACCTGAAGACGCCAGACCAATGTGTTCCTGAGAAATTCGTGCAGTCACTTTCCTTACCTTGGTCATCACTACCTGAATGCAGAAAACTGTTAGTTTTTGCCTCTATTTAAATCCTTTACCACTTATCATTAGTGCATCGGTGGCATAGTAGTTAGGACACTCGCCGACCATGCACATGGTCCGGGGTTCAACTCCCGGCCGACGCATTCTTCTACCTCGCTAAACCAGAAATAATACTGGTAAAGAGGAAAGGTTGGGCATGAGGCTAGCAACCCCATCCTGTAAAATAAACACTGCTACAGAAACTTCAAGCCACTAGCTTGAAGCCCTATGCTCCACTGGGGAACGTGAAGGGAAAAAAACAAGTTATTATTATCCTAATTATTTTATTAATCTGACTGCTTCACCTCTAGTTGTCTATTACACAATCGATTCAAACACACATTTACTTCTTAATTACGTCCTATTTTTCCATACATTATGTAATCCACTTGTATAATTTTGCAATTACTTCCACCCTTTAATTGTTGTGTTAATTTGCTTGACTATCACTCGCTAGAGGTGTTGATACTGACTAATTATTGTTGACAAACGTATCATCATTAGGTTGGTAAATGTTTTGTATACTACTGAAAACTGTACATATATTTGACTAGAGTCATAGATGAGGGATTGATTGAAAGATAAACATTTCTTCTCTCAATCCTTTCGTCTTCTAAATGTCTAAATAAGTTCTTTTTTACAAACAATAACTTTCTATCATTTTTAATTTAGTATTCTAAACAGAACACAGACTTTTTACTATACTTCCATGAGAATTAGAACAGGACAAATAGCAGAATGGCCATCTTATTCAACAGTGTATTAAACAGATGGTACAGCTTGTAACGTAACACCAAAATTATTCTTATTGTAGTTACATTTTACAAACATAAGTTTCTCTGGAAAGCCTGGGAGTACTGGACGGCTGCTTCGTCCTATTTCGGGACTGTTCATCAGTACGCACCCACGGGGGTTCGAACTCAGGACCTTCATGTCACAAGGCGAGCTCGAAGACCATTAAGCCACTGGGACCCGATCCAATGGCCATCCCATGAATTTTAACTTCTGCCTATTCAGGACACAGCGCGACCCCTAGCCAATGTCTTTGGCGAATATTTGTCCCCACACCCAATTTGCTGCACCCTACTGGTTACGACTTCCCACTAAAACCCCGGGTAACTACCTACCTGAATGGGGCAAGTCGCTAGTGAGCATCTCATCGATATTCAAGTGTTGGTTTGTAGGGATTTGAGTGGTTACAGGATTTCATCATGAGCTGACATTGGTTAGAGAACCATTGGAAAACCAGCTGAGAGCACTGAACAGCTGTTTCGTCCTAGTTTGGGACTCTTCAGAAGTATGCACCCGCCGGGGTGAAATGGCAAAAGTTAGGATTCATGAGCCATTGGATCGGGTCCCAGTGGCTTAATGGATTTGAGCTCGCTTTGTAACCGGAATGTCCTGGGTTCGAACCCCGGTGTGTGCGTGCTGCTGAAGTGTTCAAAACTAGGAAAACAGAAACAGCTGTCCAGTACTTCCAGCTGGTTTTCCTGTGGTTCTCTAACCAATTTCAGCTCATGATGAAATCCTGTAACCAATCAACCAAATCCCTACAAACTAACACTTGAATAAGTTTCTCTTTTATCTTTCTTTTCATATTATTGATATATCCACAGCCTTTTTTTTTATGGTTCAAGCACTCACCATCTGATCAACGGCCTTAGCAAATTTGCTAAGAACTTTACAATATTTCCTGCTTTCTTATGTATATGTATTTTCCAAACTAGTGTTTTCAAACAGGAAAGTAATCACCTGTCCTAATTGTCTCTTATATATAGGAGTGTTTTCATTGTGAAATTTCACCAATACACTTTACAGCACATATACTGTTCAGTGGTCTGACGGCTTCATACTGAATCATGAAGTCAGTGCCTAATGAACCACCTTAAAACTATGGTAATAGATTAATGGATCAAGTTTTCGTAGGTATTGACCAATATGGCATAGAAATAATTAATTTAACTGCATATACTCTAATTGAATACTAGTTAGTAATTAACTGCATGCACGCTACTGCTTAACTAAGCCTTCACAAGTGCCTCCTGAAGCGTTTGAAAATAGTGCCAGTTAAGTAGAGTCATTGAGACGTTTCTCATAGTGAAAGACTTGGAAGTAAAACTGTATGCTTTCGTGAAAGAATGCAATTTGATAAGATAATACAAGCCCTCGAGTGGAACCCGAAAGGGAGGCGGCGAGTTGGTCGTCAGTGCAAGGGTGACTTGGAGGAGGTCATGTGAAGAGGAGATGAAAGCATGTGGACAGAATTGGAGCGGGGTGAAAAAGTTGGCAGAAAACCGAAGGCAATGGAGACGCGGAGCTGAAGCTCTATGTTCCTCTAGGAACTAAAGGATAAAATAATAATAGTGAAATAAGGTTGAAACAGAAATTCCATTATTGGTAAATTTTGTTTTGATAAAGTCTCACAGTGTTATACAGTAATGTTTACTGATGACGTTTCGAGCACAATTTATTGCTCATAATCATATCAAGGTAATCACACGACTTCCTAAATTCATTTATATAGTTCCATTATTTTTCACTTGATTTGATTGGTAGTAATATTTTCCGTATTTCGGGTATGAGTGATGAATCATTCCGATTGCATGTGCTGGGTGTAGACTCGATGAACCAGGATTCAATAATCAACCTCTCTCTCTCCACCTACCTAGATTACTTTTTAGAATTTTAACCCTCTCCAACCCTATTTGTGTGGTTGTGTGTTAATGCATGCATTGCAATAGCTGATCTTTTTTTTCTAAATTACTTATCTTTTCGGGGTCAACCATTCTTACCGTACCTAAATTATTATGTTCTGACGATCCGACTGCCCCTGACCTACTAGTTTGACCTATGTAGTTGACCTCACAGTTATTGCAGGGTTATTTGTAAATGATATTATTTTATCTAATTGGTTGAACCAACAGGGTGTTTCAACCTTCAGAGCTTGTCCGTGAGTGAGTTTGTAGGTTTAAATGCCACCCTAATTCCTGATTTATTAAGAATCCTACGTAGGGTCTCAGATGTCCCCTCTTTATATGGTATAACTGTAGATGACTTATATTCTCTCTTATTTATGTTATTATTACTAGTTTCACAATTATTTTTATTTTGGCCTTTTTCGATCTTCCTAATGAATTTTAAAGGATAGTTATTTATTATACTTATATCATTGAAACCGAAATGTGCGTCTCAACCGAATTCACACTAGAGACGTTGAGCGTATACAGTCTACAGTCACAATTATCTAAAGTATATTACATCTTGTTATCTATGGTAATATATAAAGCAAATATATATTGTCATTTATATTTGATTTAACCAACTTTTATTAACATATGTAAAATATTTGAATGAACAAAAAAAAGACGAATCCCATGAATAGGCTTTTTTATACTACCCATTCACATATCAAAGAATTCATTTAATGATAGTCTTAAAGATATATCATTTTCTATTTTCCTTTCCTTTTTTTAAAAAAAATTACAGAACGTATTCAACTCAAATCTTTGAGGGTTGGACAATTAGTCTGAATTATGCATCGAAGGTATTAGATGTGCCTGGTTACTTTTATGTTTTGGATATATTTAGTCAACAGGAACTGCCTAAAGAATGGTCACATCTGAACAATATACTGCTTCATCAAGTCTTGCCAACCTATACAAGACCTAAAGAAAACAAAAGTTCATTGAATGATAACTATTACAACAGGTATTTAATTAAACTTTCTTTTTTTTTTCACCACTTTATTGGGGAAAATAATGAGTTCTTGATAATTTCTTATCACTTTTATCATTCTGAGCAAACACTGACGTTGATTCTTATGTTCACCCTGTGATGCTTCCATTTGCAAACAACGAAGTGACATGAGAGAAACGTAACCAGCATATTCATATTTTCTATATTACATAACCTTGTCCGGTTAGTAGTTATGTAACAAATTCTGAGAATCTACCAGAATTAAGTGTTGAAAAAAGTTATGCGATACATTTGAATGATTGCTAAACTCACACTAGATTTCATCAGGAAATGATAACAGCTTTAGCGTCAGACCATGTGTCCTCAGGGCCTGTGCCTACAAGCAAAAATCAGTACACTTTGTAGACAATACTTTTGTCTCATGCCATTAGATCAGAATACTGCAGCCTGTGTAGATATGTGTTATAGTACAACCGATACTTAATATTACGTATTATTAGTAACTTCCCACCTTTTAGGCTGCTTTAATTTCACATATAGCGTCTTTTCGCTGGTTATCTAGCTAGTCTTTTGACAATAAGTTTTAACACCTCACAAAAGACGAAACTGACTGACCTACTTGTCAATGTAGAACTGTGCAAAGAAGGCACCCATTGAAGTTGTTGCGTTCTAAGAAACGTCATAGAGATAGATTAAGGAAATGTAGTGAAATTACATTTAGGGAAACAGAATAATTAGGAGGAAATTTGTGAAGATTTTTATAAAATGTATGGTCTGAAGGTGTAAATGCATCTGCGCTACTGAGAAACACTTTGAAATATGGCATCAAAGGTCGCTGACCATTGATTCTTAGTATCTCAGACACCTCAGTCAGGTAATCTGTAGTTACCTGCGAAACCAAAATCAAGATTCATGGTTTGATGTCATTTCTTTATCTGACCAACCTCGAGTATGATATGCCCTTGTTCCACTTCATCTTTTTTGTGATTACAGCTTGATTCCACCCTGTATTTTTGGTACAGGTATGGAATTTTCAGCATGTGATATCTGTAGCTCAGATTTCGCAGGCCGACCATAGTGACCAGGTGTGCATCGGTGGGGGATCGAATCTCGGACCATGTGCATGGTTGGCGAGAATCCTAACCACTGTGCCACCGACGCACTGAACGTGTTCAGCAAGGGCAACGGTAAGCAGTCTTCATCATTGTCTTAAGCTAGAGACTCTAAATACCATCATATTTGAGTTTACCTACGGTGATAGCTTGTACACCATTGCTATCTCTATACAGCCAAATTATTTTTACATTATTTTCAACGCATCATTTGCACAGATCTTAGTGTTTTGGCACTTCTGGACTTTATCTTGTGTTTCTTTCATATCTCCTTTGCATTTCCACAACTCTGTAGGATTTTTCTTCTCTGAAATCAAATGTATCTTCCTGCTGTTTACTGTTTTTTATGCCAATGGACATCTCTTTATATACTACTGACAAATCTTATCAATAGCACTCGCCACGCCAAGTCTTCACGGGCTTTCTTTCAAACAATGAGTAACATTTCTTTTACTGTAGGATTTTTGGGCTTAAAATCGCACAAACATATCTGTAAATTAGCTTCATATATTTTGTGTAGTAAATTCCGTAACAGATTTTAGAATTGAATATTCTAACATTTCCATTATGCAATTCTATACTGTATTTTGTTTTAGAAATGGTGATTCAATACCTCTGGAAAATTCACCACCTAGATTAAAGAAGCATACAAATCAAAATTATCGAAAATTAGCGGATTCAATACACGGAATTAAAACTACAGTAAGGGATAATTTATAGGATTTCAATTATAATAACTTATTTCAAGTGTTTTATTTTTACCCTTTGTATCCAGTTATTATGTATCTGCTAGATAGAGATTAGGCAGATTAACTTTAATCAAAATATATTTGAATAATTTTGTAAATACTAAATTTGGTGGTTGAAATTTGTTATGTTTAGTCATAGAACATACATCTGTCTGTCTGTTTTCGACATAGAACTTTGTACCGATGTGCCGCAGTTTAAGTCGCTACACTCCCTCCATGTGGCACACAAAGCAAGAGAAGAAAGTAGAAGAAATGCATAACAGAGACAGCAAACAGAGGTTTGAGACAAAGGATTAGTAATAACGAAGAACAAAACAGTTTCATTGGAAATCATAAGTCACAAGGAGTGGATGCATCTGCGCCACTGAGAACGATTTAGAGTCATATCGCCAGTTGTTTCCAGTCATTGGTGTTTACAGTCCCGAGGACCCCAACCAGTCAGGAAGTCTACACCATCCTACGTGGCTTTAACTAACTGTTGTGGATTTCATTGACTGGTGATGCCATGTTTTGGTTTGACCGCCGCTGGCTCTTTTCCAGCCTGACCCTATGTCAGCTAACATTGCCCATTGTCGAGGAAGGCGATGACTAAGCATACATAACACATGTCCTAACCATCTCAGTCGATGTAATTCCACAGCCTCGTTGATTGATTTCCCCTTCTTACCTAGCACTCGACCGATCCCTAACCTCAATATTGCTCACCTAATTACACCACTTCACTGGGGCGATAAAACGCAGGCATTTATGATCAAAGACAGCTAGCCAGTCTTTTCATGTCTTCCACTCTCACTGGCCAGGTCTCACAGCTATAAAAGAGGACGGAGCGGACTGATGAGCAGTACACCCGCCCTTCGGTCACCAGAGACGGCCGTAAACTGGTATATGCGAAACTAGCCCTCTCTATCCGTGCTGAGATTTCGTCAGAGATCAACTCGTTGGGTCTGTTGGTACTTTCCAAATAAGTGAAGCGGTCAACGTGCTCTACCACATCACTTTCTATTTCTAAGCTAGGCGTAGTCTATGTAGTCCAGTCCCGTAACATCATCTTACATTTTGTGGAGGCGAATCGCATGCCAAACATTCGTAGATTGCAGCTCAAGGTGTTTAGAAGACTGTGCATTATGTCAGCGTCCTCGCCTAGAAAGACTATATCGTCTGCATATTCTAAGTCAACGAGATTGTTCCCTGGTGGCAAGTCAATCCCTGAGTCTCTGAAGTGAGTTAGGGTTAAGTCCATTAGTACATCTATGATGAAGTTTGAGTAGAAATGGGGGTAACGGGCATCCTTGACAAACACCACTAGTCGTCACCAGTTCAGATGACAACTCGCTGTAAGCCCCCATCTGGCTGCATGAGTTCAAGTAGAGTTCCTTGTTCGATGCAATGCATTTTCTCGGCATTCCCCTCACGACCAAGCATCTCCAGAGTACCTCTCAGTCGACAGAATCGAATTCCGCCTTTAGGTGAAGAAATATAATGGAAATATGATGGATACACCCTCTCTCTGGTCTAAAGCCTGCTTGGTTCTACCGTGTTTGTGCCTCCCGAGCATCACTTAGTGTACGCAATATTATTGACCCTAGGACTTTAGATACTATAATAGTCAATCTAATCCCTCTGTGATTATCACAGAAAGATTTGTCTCCCTTCAGAACATACATTCTAAAATACCTTTCTATCTAGAAGCCTGGTTGTTGTAGCACGTCTACAGTTTTCTGTTTCAGTTATAGGAAAATTTAGATTGTTCTAAGGATGAGATAAATCATAAATCATACTTTAAATTCGTTCATTTTAAAGTAATAATTAGTTATAAGAATGTCACGATGTGATTATAGTTAAAGATGGTGGAGAAGTGTCTATGCAGGGGAGGGAAAATAAGATATAGCAAAGATGGCATGATGGGAGGGTGGAATAACGCTAGAACAGTAAAGGATATGCAAAGAATGAAAACTATAAATGAATGAAAATGATGGGTGGTGGAAAACGCTGAAACATATGAGACAGTGGTATTTATACTAGAATTTCTTTTATTCGCCATTCTTGTGTCGTCCATGTCTACATACCTTTTAAGTTATATTTTGTCTTAAGCTTGGGGTTTGGCTCTCATCTATATTCCATGTCACTATTAATGGAAGAATGCTATTTGTCAGCGAATGTTTCATGAAAGGTTTCAAAGGAGACTGTTTCTTTATCATACTGGTATACATGTATACCAGTATGACTGAACTTTTAATTTCAGTGAGACCGTTTTAATTCCATACACTACGAAAGGTATTTGAGTTGGTTAGTAAACAATGGAAATAAGAATTTTTCTACATTGAGTTCATTGTAACAAATGTTTTGGATGGGTATTTCATTTTTCACTCGAAATGACAACCAGCTGGATGTCGTTTCTTACTCATTTCTTCTGGGACTTCACATAATTTACAGCCACATTACAATGAATGTAGGTCCTTACTTAGTGTGTATAACTGTCATTGAAATCAAAATTGTATAAGTACATCAATCTATGAAGCAATTGTACCTTACTGACTGATGCTGAAGTAAGGAATGGAATAGTTACAGGTAGGCAATTTTGGGATACATGGATTGAAGGGACAGAAATTTCGTATTTATTTGAATTGGGATAACCGCCAATCTATATTTAAGGATTACTAATATTTAACACATAAGGTTAAACTAAACAACATTAAAGTCATATACTTCAATTGTTTTATGTAGACTCATTCATACAATGGTCATATGAAAAAATCAGTTCCAAATTCGTCCAATCATTATCGTCGTTCTAATTCACAAGCTGATTGGTTTAAAGCAGTTCGTTCAATGGCGTCCAAACGATTTGCTGAAAGCGTTCGTTCCCATTCATCGATGAGAAGGAGAAGTATTGATAAGGACAAAAACTTTAGTCAGTTCCATTCTTCACCTGCCACTAATCCACCCACTAGTACCATTGGATTTCCACGATCAAAATCACCTGGTGATATAATTCAGGACAGTCGACTATCACATGCATCACCAGGAGCTATTGAAAGTCAATCTGGTAGAAGAAATTCAAATGCACTCCCTCATGATATGCGATATTATGTTTACAATCATTCAGCATGGACAATACAAATTAGAAAAGAGGTAAATTTCAGAACATACATTTTATAATTAGAAAACATGTGAAACATAAATATTTTACATTGAAATTTGTTTATATCACATATTGAGGTAATTGTATTACGTATTTGTGGGAGTAGAATCTTAAAGATTTTCAAGCAACACAGTTTTATGACGCTGTCTTTTCTTTTTAATAGAAAATTTCATCAAGTAAATGTCACGTGTCTTTACTCAACTCAGGTGGAACTACTCAACCTAAAAACTTTATAGCACCACCAAAATGATATTCATTTTAATTTAATATATAGAAAAAGATTGATATAGAGGTTTATAATTTCATGAAAATGCATCATATGTTCACCTTTAAAAAGTTTGCATTACATACCTTTTCTTTAAAAGAGACTGAGTAATTATTTTCACGATAAACAGTAGAATATCAGAGAAGGGTACGGCATTCTGCGATACACAGTTAACTAAGATGCTAGTGGACAGCTACGGAAGTTCATCAGTATCCATGGAAAAAGTAAGAATGTTCAAGTTACTTACTGAATAACACCCATTGGCGACAAGTGCAACTTTTGTGTTACCGAGCTGGCTATACATATATATATATATATGGAGGTTTCGTATGTGAGTGTTTTTGTCTACAATATGGTTTGATAAAGTCAAATATATAATTCTCAAAGCGTTTCTTTGTGCCTGACATGAGAGTGAACTATTTGTGTGTACGAATTCTCTTGATTGATCAAAAACTTTACAGGTTACTTAATCCTTCGAAATGAGAATAGGATAGTTTACCGGCTATGTTGAATATTCAGAATACATCTACCATCCTCTAAGTGAAAACTATGACTTAATGTCCAGTGTACATTGTTTTTTTATAAAAGAGAATAGGAATTTAATTATATATTATAGTGGTTCATGGTAGGTGATTTGTACTGAACTCATGTATTTGTCTCTAGTTGTATTCATTGGATAGCTCAAATGTGATGATATGAAAGCCGAGGTCAGTTGGCTAGATATAGTTGGGCTGACTTGGATACTTCTTACTGTAAGCTATCACATCATAATTGTACAGTCAAAAATCTTTTTATCACTTATTATTATTGCTTCTTTTAGTTACTAGAGAAGCATAGGGCTTCAGCCATGCGTCTCCATTGCGTTCGGTTCTCTGCCAACGTATCCACCTGACTCCACGTCTGTCCACATGCTTTAATCTTCTCTTCACATGACCTCTTCCATGTCACGCTTGGACGACCACCTCACCGCTTCCCATTCGGGTTCCAATTGAGAGCTTGTCTTGTGATATTACTTGATGGTTTCCTCAGACTATGGCCAGCCAATCCATCTCCATTTCTTCCTGCCTATCTGTTTCACAATCGGTTCCTGCTGTGTTGGTTTGCTCATTGCCAGAGATCCCTGTTGCTGATCTTTTCTGGCCGGCCATCTGATCTTGAGTATTGAGCGAAGACAACTGTTGATGAAGGTCTGAAGTTTGTTTGAGATGCTCTTTATGACGCGCTGGCCAAGTCTCTGATCCGTAAAGTAGCACTAACTGACTTCACATTGGAGTTGAAAATCCCGATCTTATTTTTGATGATGAGTAGTGATGTTGACCTCCACACAGACTTAAGAGTAATGAAAGCCTGTCTTGCTTATCCGATTCTCGCTGTGATATCTTCGTCAGTTCCACCTGTAGTTGAAACGATGCTTCCCAGGTGGGTGGGAAAAGGAGGTTGTTTCTTTCAGGTTCCTCCTATTTGTGCTGGCTGATTGTTGTCTGTTGTTGTTGCTGTTGGTGTTGTCCAGGAATCTTCATCACCTCTGTTTTCTCTATGTTTACTTGGAGTCCTGCCTTTGATGCTTCTTCTGCCAACTTGTTACTTTTCACTTGTTTTCACAGTTTGTGGGAAATCAGACATATATCACTTAGTTCTGAGAAATTTACAACTTTCTATTATAGTTATTTGTCTATAGGTCACTTTTGATTTTCATATTGATTTACTGGACCGAAATGTCCGGCATCTGTTAACATATCACCTCTAGTACGCTGTTTAAGGAAAATCACCGTCAACCAATTTATTTCGACATCACCGTCAGTCATCACCGAATCATCGGCAATATGGTTCAACTCACCAACAGAGGCCCAACATTTCGGTCCAGACAATCAATGAGAAAATCAAAGCTGACTTAAATAGTAACTGATGCCTATTGTACAAAGGGCTGCTGTCTTGACCCAGGTGGTTTAGTGGATACACCTTTAGCGTTTGAAACGATGGGTGCTGTGTTTTGGGTCTCATTGTAAACAATACGACTCACTGAGAAAACCAAGTACATTCAGATGACCAGTTTCAAACAAGACATAATGTGCATCCTGGATTTCACCGCTAGTCACCATCCACCAAATAGGTTCTATCATAATATTTTCATTTTTATTATATCTTTGTTGATTTTAACTGTAAACGGCAATCCACAATCTGAGATTTCATGCTAACTTTTGAGTTACTGAAAACATTAAACATATACTAGAGTTATCATCAGATGCAAATTGTTTAATGTTCATCGTTTTACAGAAAGTTCTTCAAGGAAAAAATCTTACATTTCAAAGATTTAAAACAGTTAGTCCCTTTTTGCAAAGTTGGATTGTGTTATTAGAAGACGGAGATTATCCGAAAGTGTGATGTATTTGCTCAATACGTTTCGAACAGTCTGTTCACACCTTGTTCCTTGTCAAGTCAATTTATGTAAAAAATAAAAAAAGCCAATTTAAGTAAACAAAATGACAAAAAGGATTTAAGAATAATAACAAAATTTAACACTAAGTTTGGTTACCCAGTCAAATAAGGATTACCAAGGTAGGTTAGGAGTAATAACAAATTGGTTTTGTACACACAGGGTATTTCAGTAAGCGCCATTGTCCATTTTTATAGATGACCTTATCTTATGGTTCATATCTGTTAGATGTCTAGCTAAAGACGAAGTTGGTAGTCTGCCACCTGCATCCATCGATTTTCCAAAGTTCATCTGTCTTTACGACCATTTTTGAATGTGCTCTCCCACCCTCGCAGGCAAAGCGCTATTACTTCTCCCTATGCATATGTGTTCACACATACATACACGTAAATTGGTATATAGTGTGGGATTTGACATAATCACTCATGCACTGTTGAGGTTTGCAGTGGAGCATACTTTTAGCTTTTAAATAATTATAAACCGAGCTGCATAATAGGTTCTATAGATGAGCGAGTTTAGTCTCTGTCTCAAAATTCTAATTTTTAAATCCTCACTGTATGATAATTTAATGAAAACAGCTCTCTTGTGGACAGAATAGATTGTAGGTCTTGAGACTAACTGACTTCCACACCAATTTTAAGAACCTTAGAGGACATCCGTTTTCTACAAAAGTATCCATTAGTATTTCATTTTTCTTCTTTATAAAATCAACTGTACAACTGCGCTGAACACTCTTAAATAAACAATCCACCAAGCCTCTCTTATACTGTAATGGATAAAAGCTGGGAAAACTAATGTATTACCCGGTCAAAGTAGGATTTCTGTAAATTGATCTGTCAATTGACTTGACAATTTAATGTTTGATCTGACTGTTCAAGATGTATTACTCTAGTACATTACATTTCGCAGATAGTCTCCATCTTCTGATAATACTATTCAAAAATACTAGTGCTTATTAAGATAAATATCCTGGCAAATTAAAGAAGATTCCCTTCGTTGAAATAGTTAGGTTTTAAAAACTGCTTCACAGTGAAAATATTACCAAGTTAAAATAATGGGCTTGTGTTGGAAATTATGAGAACAACTGTAGAAAGCTTTTGGCATTTTAAGACAAGATTAAGAACAAGCTATTGTGTTGTCTTATCAGGCTATTTCAATTTGAATAAGAAACTTAAGTTGAAGAGTATCCTTGTTGAATTCATTGTCTTCTCTTCGAAAAATCTTTCAACACAGAATCAGACTCAGTTGTCTTCCATGTAGATCAGAAACGTCAGACAACATCAGAAGAGTACTCAATAAGCACAACATCAGAGTTTTCTTCAAAACATCAGACACTACAAATCAACCTTGTCCATGTAAAAGACTAAATCCCGAAGGATTCCCTATCTAATTGTGTCTACAAAATAAAGTGTTTGGAATGTGATGTGATATACATAGGATAAACATCGCCAGAGAGAAATCAAAATCAGAAGAAATGAACATTGTAGAGCATCTGTACGACCACCAAAAAATCTGGTTAGTGAACTAGAAAGGCTTCAAACACCATCAGCCATAGGTTGTTTACACGCCATAGAATCAGGCCACAAGACTGATTTTAACAATATTGAAATAATTCAGAAAAATTTCAGAAATCACAAAGAACGTTTCATATCAGAAGCAAGCACTTTATATCAAATGGAATCCAAATGGTCTCAATAGGGATGGTGGACTAAAACAGAATTTGACCTGGTTACAACACCTCCTCCTCCATGAAGTGACAAAATCAATACGAATATGATAAGCAACTTCACCATATAAACACAAGCTGCTTTTATAATTTTATAAACTTATCAAATCCAACAATCTAATCTTGGTTTTGTTATCTTTATCGATTGGTCAGTTTGACAACGAAAATGACCCTATGCTGATGAACGATGATTAGGTCTTTTTATATATAAGCTGGGATTTTGTAAATTCCGGTTTAATAATACTTAGATAAAGCTATGAGCAACATTAAATAGCGAAACGTTAGTGAAAACAACATCGTTTTGTTTTTTATTCATTAGAAAATACAAAAAATCCTATAATAATGATTATCATCTACCGAATGTCCAAATTTTTTCAAACTGTTAAAAGTGATCTTGGTTTGTACATATCTAACAGAATCATACTAATATTTGTATTGTGGCTTTTTAAGCTAGCGCATTTTTGATCAGTCCTTTACTAATTACTGAAAGATTAGAGTACAGTACACTGAGTTAAATGTTTGCTCTTCATACTTCAAGCATCGTATGGAGGATTTCATCATGAGCTGACATCAGTTAGAGAACCACTGGTAAACAAACTGGGAGTACTGGACAACTGTTTCGTCCCAGTTTGAGACTATTCATCAGTACGCATCCATCGGGTTCGAACTCAGGACCTTCTAGTTACACGGCGAGCTCTTAGACCATTAAGCCACCGGGACTCGATCCAATGGTTCTTGAATTCTAACTTCTGACGATTCAAGCATCATAATCATCACGCCTCATATAAATTTTGATATTTTTAAGTGACTGGATTATTACAGATGCATTAAAACAGATGAATTTAGGCCTATGTAGATTTGAAAACAATAGTGTTATTTGACAATACGTTGTGGAATATGAAATTTAATGAAATCTCAGTAATTTCAACCTAACTGCAAGTGTACAACTGATTTCTTTTGTTATTAGTTTGTTAGTATCTTGTATACGTATTTAGACAAACCGGTTTACTGTTATAAATATTTTCTTTTTATACATTTGAACACACTTAGTTTATCACTCCGAGTGAACGTATACGAACAACTCTAATCTTAAATTTAATTTTTCATCAAATTGTTACTGATATGAAAGAGGAAACAAATCTACGTTTAAGTGTAAAAGACCGTTTAGAATTATTATCAGTAATTGGTAAGTAAGTTTTCTCTGCTTTAATATACACTATGATTTTTTTAACAGTTAGTAATGAGTCTGATGACTGGTGTTATTGAAATAATAGAAAAGATTTGTAACTCAGGTGGATGATTTGCAATTGATAGTGTTCTCTGAGATCCTTGAAAGCTCCGCAATTAAACCGAGGAGCTCAGAGAACACTATCAATTGCAAGACTGGTGTTATTATCATCAAATTAGGTTAAATATGCAGAAATCTCAGTAGTATACTCATCTGAATTATAGACTACTATTCACCAATGATCTTCCTGATTGCAATTGATTGGATAATGCGACAGACAACAGCAACCAACGAGGGAACAGGCATAAAATGGACTGACACAAAAGACTTGGAGGATCTGGATTTCGCCGATGATATATGTCTGATTTCCCATAAACTGGAAGATATGCAAGTGAAAAGTAACAAGTTGGCAGAAGAAGCATCAAAAATAGGACTTCCGTCAGGTGAACATAGATAAAACAGAGATGATGAAGATTCCTAGCCAACATCAACAGCAACAACAACAGACAACAATCAGCATAAGTGGGAAGAACCTGAAAGAAACAACCTCCTTCACCTACCTGGGAAGCATCGTCTCAACTACAGGCGGAACTGACGAGGACATCAAAGCCAGAATCGGAAAAGCAAGACAAGCTTTCATTACTCTCAAATCTGTGTGGAGGTCAACAGCACTACTCATCAAAAATAAGATCCGGATTTTCAACTCCAATGTGAAGTCAGTGCTACTGTATGGATCAGAGACTTGGCGAGTCATAAAGAGCATCTCAAACAAACTTCAAACCTTCATTAACAGCTGTCTCCGCTCAGTACTCAAGATCAGATGGCCAGAAAAGATCAGAAACAGGGATCTCTGGAAATCAGCGAACCAACCCTGCAGGAACCGATTGTGAAACAAATAAGCAGGAAGAAATGGAGATGGATTGGCCATACGCTGAGGAAACCATCAAGTGACATCACTAGACAAGCCCTCGAGTGGAACCCGGAAGGGAGGCGGCGAGTTGGTCGTCAGTGCAAAGGTGACTTGGAGGAGGTCATGCGAGAAGGAGATGAAAGCATGTGGACAGACCTGGAGCAGGGTGAAAAAGTTGTCAGAAAACCGAAGTCAATGGAGGTGCGCAGCTGAAGCTCTATGTTCCTCTAGGAACTAAAGGATACAATAATAATAATAATAATATTTACCACATCATATGTTGTACCACTAACTAGTGTGGTATGCCAGGCATATTTGGTGTTCTCTGAATTGTTGAACTTTTTATAGTTCACATCACTGGATGAACTAAATTAGTTTCTACGCCTACATCTACTAATTGGTTCATATTTCACCTGAAGTATTGATATTTATCTTCAAGAATGTAAGTAAAACTAGCTGATTTTTCTGTATTCATGATATGCACATCTGGTATTTGGCTGCAGTCCGTAAACAAAACAATGATTACAGTTTTTCGTTTCAGTGACCTTAGATTCTCACAATGATAGTTTAATTTTATTGCATTTTCATTACGCTGTCGTTGTATTTGTCCAATGTTTTGCTCTGCTAGTTTGCGTACTGTTGTAGATCATGAGTGCGCACACTGTCAGTCAAAACTGTGGATGTATAGTAATGCTAAAGTGTTTTCATTTCTATATCTTGACAATATAGACTCAAAAACAAAAGAAAACTGGGTGGTTGACTTAAGCGCATTCTAATCTAAAAGGTGTGAACATTACTAATTTAACATTTTATTAAAGCACAGCAGTTTATTACTTTTGAATTTTAGTAAACATTCCTGATAAATAGGGTAGCCTTACGAAGTAGTGCACAGTTTCCCTTAGTTTATGTCCCTTCGTTATCTGTACTTCAAATCTGTACTTGGTACTTGAGGAAATAAGAAATAGTTTCTAATTGGTGGATGGTGACTAGCAGTGGAATCCAGGACAACGAGCATTTCGTCCTATTTGGGACTCGTCAGCTGGATGTACCTGCATTTCTCAGTGAGTGATGATGTTCCCACCGAGGCTCGAACCCAGTACCCATAGCTTCAAACGCCAAAGCGTTATCCATTAGACCACTTGGGCCACGAGAGCCACCTCTTGTGCAACGGGTCATATTAATTATTGAATTGAATTTTTGATTTTCCCGTCAGTTGATTGGAGCGAAGTGCTCGTATTCAGGTTGACATATAGGCTTCTTGTGCAGATGCTTCGACGATGTCTGGGCATTTAATTAGTGTTTAACTGGTGGATGGTGATTAGCAGAAATAGTTTCAGTTGGTACCAACTGAACTACGTTATCTTATCTATTAGGTAAAAATTATAAGGTGGAAAAATTTGAATTATTGCTATCACCCAAATCTTGTAAAGCCTCCTTTGAAAACATGTGTGTTGGATAGAAAATAAAGGAGTTAAAACAACTAAAATAATCATTAAAATTCCAAATTTTTAAGTGTATTATCCTGGATCTTGAGGAAGAAGTTTCATTTCTTCAATATTTGTCATCGGTGGCCTTCAGTCAAATTCGGGTCTTACCATGTCTTTTTGTACTGAAAGAAAATATAAAAATGGGCACATGACACTAAGGATCTTCCATTTCTGTAACTACGAAAAGTGTTATGCAACTTAATATTTAGGTTACAGTCAAAAATACTACTTTACAACACAAATAGTCATAAATCCTTTCATATGAGCCACAGATTCCTATAGAAATATCTCCAAGGGTAATTCTAACCAAAGAATAGATTCATAGTGAAGTAAGCGTTGAAGGTGTTGTCTAGAGAAACACTGAAAGATCCACAAATGATTTGTCCAGCTCAGGAAAGTAAACCACACCAGAACCATTCACCTGAGGTACAAATGTTCTCCGTTACTACTTATTAGTACCTTATATTTGTAAAAAGAAAGGAAAGGAACAAATCGAATAAGATCAGACCACAATGTTTTCTTAAGTGAAAAGCTGTCTGACAAAAATTGTTCCTACCAGAAGTCAATGAATAACCGAACTTCTCAATTTTAAATCATGTGTACTTCTATTTGGGACATTGCTAGTTAACGACTATGTGAGTTGTATTTAGAATGCAACTTTTATGTGAACTAATTATATTCTCTTTTAATTTTAACATATTTTATATCCAGGTTCACAATACAATATTGATTCACTTGATTCCGTTCATAATATTCCAATGGTTATCAAAAAGAAAACAGTATTTTGTTCATTGAACTTACCAATTTATTTTGGACGATTTTATCCTGTTCAGGTAAGAGAAGGTTTTCTCTTTTTTTCTTCCTTTGCCTTCCCAGTGGGACATATGGCTTCAAGCCACTGATTTGAAGTTTCGGTAGCAGTAGTGCTTATTTTTACGGGGTGGGATTACTGGTCTCACGCCTACCCTTCCCATCTTTGTCGGGCGTATTGCAGGTTAAGTGAAGTTTGAAAGATTGCCTCAGCAGGGGATTGTGCCCCGGACCACCTGAGTGGCTGGCAAGCATTCTACTTTTGCGCCACCAACGCACCAAAAGAAGGTTATAGTTTTACAACTACCCATGATGTTTTTATGTAATGTTTAAATCATTAATGTTTAGATCATTAAATGTATTTTTATTGTCTAGATATGGAAAAGAATAGATGAGTGATGTTTATTGTAAAACATCATTTTAGTGGTATTTGTGTTAAGCATAGCATAAGATCAAGTCTATTTTATTCAGTTAATCCTACTTTCATAATACGAAAAGGTTTTCTATGGTATGCGAATTACAGGTCTCAAAATTTCAATTTCTCTTGAACTCAGCTATCATATAAAATATAAAACTATAAATAGTAGTAAGGAATAGTGAATAGGAGAAAAGGTTATTTTTTGTTACACAACCCTTCATTTTGGTTAATACTTTCTCAAAATCTGCGCATTTATCCAAACAGTCATAACAGATTTCCATTTGAGTTAAATTAGTTTACTAAAAACATTTTTAAGAGAAGAGACACTAAAATTATTTGTGTGGTATAATTTTAGTGATAGCGTCTTTCTGAGAGGAAGTTATTTCCTCTACTAATTATTACTGCCTCCTATAGTTCATAGAGGAACATAGGGCTTTAGCCTCACGTCTCCATTGCGTTCGGTTCTCTGCTAACGTTTCCATCTGGCTCCAAGTCTGCCCACATGCTTTCATCTCATCTTCACATGATCTCCTCCATGTCACCTTTGGATGACTAACTCACCGCTTCCCGTTCGGGTTCAACTCGAAGCCTATCTTGTGATGTCACTTGATCGTTTCCTCAGAGTATGGCCAGCCAATCCATCTCCATTTCTTTCTGCCTTTTTCTTTTACAATCGGTTCCTGGTTGGTTCGTTCATTGCCAGAGATCCCTGTTTCTAATCTTTTCTGGCTGGCCATCTGATCTTGAGTATTGAGCGGAGACAGCTGTTGATGAATGTCTGCAGTTTGTTCTAAGTGGTCTTCATGACGCGCCAAGTCTCTGATCCATAAAGTGGCACAATACAATGGTTCTTCTACTTTGCTAAGTCTCAGTAGACCAAGAAGTAATTTGGAGACTACTTCAATACTACGGCGTACCTCAAGTCTTTTGTCAATCTCATTCAACAGCTATATGACAATGACACGTATCAAGTGTTCCACAACAGAAAACGCAGAGAGGCGTTCGAAGTGCATACAGGAGTGAAACAAGGCTGGCTGCCTATTATCACCAATGATATTCTTAATTGTGGTGGACTGGATTATGCATCAGATTGTGCATAGAAGTGAGGAGGCAGGAATACACTGCACGATCGATAAGAAAACTGTAAAAGATCTGGATTTCGCAGATGATATATATCGAATGCCACACCAACTCGAAGATTTGCAAGCGAAAACCAACAAACTGGCTGAAAAAGCTGACTGGTAGCGAATACAGGGCTCCATGTGAACATTGAAAAGATGGAGGTGATGAAAATAACCAATCAACGGCAAAAACAGCCAGCACCAGTCACTATTGAATGGAGAGATTTAACAGAGATTGCGTCCTTCACTTATCTGGGAAACATCGTTTCACTTACAGGTGAAATGGCCGAAGATGTCAAAGTCAGAATCGGAAAGGCGAGACACTCCTTCATCAACCTGAAACCAGTATGGAAATCTTCGACACTCACTCAACCAGCATGAAGAACAAGATTCGGATTTCCAACACCGATGTGAAGTCGGTTATTCTACACCAGTCAGAAATTTGCACTGCGCTTGTATCACGATAAGCATTTTCAACAGGTTGCAGACTTTCATCAACAGCTGCCTTCGCTCCATACTTAAGATCTAATGTCAGGCCAGAGAGAATCAGAAACAAGAAACTCTGCAGTGGAACAAACCAACCAAGAGCCGATCGCTCAACAAATATATAGGAGAAAGTGGAGATGGATCGGGCATACATTGAGAAGGCCACTGAATGATATCACGCGCGATGCAGGCCATTACTCAAGTGGAATCATTAGTTTAAGTACTTTCACATTTCACTTTCACACTTTCAGAATTATTTCTGGCTTAGCGAAGTAAAGGAGTGCGTCGGCCGGGGATCGGACCCCGGACCATGTGCATGGTCGGCGAGTGTCCTAACCACTGTGCCACTGACGCATCGACGTTGGCTGTAAGTGAGCTAAAAATTCGTTAATGATTCCCACCTACATCTAATATCAAGTGTTGATCTGTTCGGCCAACCTTCAGGGAGTATATAACAAGAATCTTCAGAAAATACTGTTTAATATACGCTACAAATAATGTCAACGTACATGGTTTCATCTGATCTGAAATATTTCATAGGCAGACGCCATATTTAAGTTCCTTACCATAAGGTATATTTATAAACGTTTATTTTCCAACAGAAGATACCAACAGAAAACAAAACAGTAAAACATTTTAAGATTAATCATTAGTTAGAGTATCAAATGCTAACCAATACATTAGTGTTATTTCTTAGGTTAATTTTCATAATCGATAATCAATTAACTAAACAGAAAATATTTCTTATATGTGAAAGAGTATTTAGAAAAACAAACATCGTTTCTCATATCTTTGTTATCTTCTATTGAGCATGCAAAACAGAAAATGTAGTGGATAAATTTAAGCACAGAGAGAATAGAACAACACGCATGAAATTAATTATTAAAAATGACCTAATCAGTGAGGTCATTAATTACGATGAAAATATCAACATATATACCTATGCATATACCTACATTTGTATATATATATATATATATATCCTCCGATTCAACAATGTACTGAAGTAAACAAACTGAAATCATCTCAAATTAAATTCCATTGCAACGGTAGAAAATTTATCTACTCATAATATATATATATTGGATCCAAAGAGTGGAAAGCGATTAAACATAAGTCAATAATTAAACCAGGGAAGTGGCTAGTGAGTGTTAAGCAGAATATCAGTTAAACTGAAGTGAGTTATTAGGTTAGAAACGAGCACTACTCAAAAATATTTTTATTTGAATTAATGTAATTCCTTACACTAAAAGTAGAGGCATATGTTCATCAGTACACTTAACTTGGATGCGTAGAAGTGTGTATCGTAGGAGTACGACTATCCAGAAAGAATTTCACATTCTCGTTTTGTTATATCTTACCTGTTCTTCTTTACTGTTCACCCTTATTCTTTCCTGGATTGCTTAGAAAAAGACTATAGCATACTTCATAGAACTCTGAAGACTGTCAGTCAGTAGGGCGAGTGTTATCCCACTGGGCCATATCTTTAACATTGTCATCGATAGGTACTTGATTTTCTGCAACAAATTTGCTAAAGGGATTTTTGTCAGACTGTGAGCATCCCCACTTTACTCGCAGCTTCAATCTTGTGTCTCCTCAGGTAAAACAAGAAGGCTTTTTTAGGAGACTTTATGCGCGCATGTCTAAGTATAAAAATTCCACGATACTATATTTAGCGCGTATTTAGTGTCAAGCATGAACTAACTAACTAACTAACCTTATTTCCACTAGCAAATAAACGGTTTTCTTCATTCTTTACTGTTATTATTCTTCTTATGTTTACAATTCTGTCATTTTTTGTGTTTATTTTCTCATAAGTGTAAACATCATTTAAGCTCTATAAGAATTGTTATTTTATGTTGTTCCCTTCATCATGCTATATCAAGAGAACACTAGGTTCAATACATTAGAAAAAAGCTAAAATTCCCAAACTGTATCGATAGTATTAGTAGAAAGAAACCTACTATTATTAATATTATTAGAATTATTTTTCTCATTTTGTACTTGCCACATTTTTGACTTTATTCCTACCGTCAATGGGGACAAATTCCTTTGGTTAGTTTTCTTTGTATTTTGAGTAAATTAGATGGAATATTGTGACAAATGCTGAAAATTGATATCAGTTAGAGAGCCATTGAAAACCAGGGAGTACTGGACAGCTGTTTTATCCCTCCTGGCTTGGGGGTCTTCATCAAGACGCACCTACTGATGGGGTTCGAACCCAGGACTCTCTAGTTACAAGGCAAGCTTGCGTATCATTCAGCCACTGGGACCCGATTCAGTTGCCATTCCGTGAATTCTAACTTCTATCAATTCGTGATTTAGCGTGACCCCAACCAATGTCGTCGGTGGGACATCCATCCTCACACTTGACTGGATGAACCTCACTGGTCACGACTTCCCAGTACTCTCTGGTTTTCAGTGGTTCTCTAACTGATATCAGTCCATGACCAAATCGTAAAAACAAAACTAATCCTTATAAACCAACTATAGAAAATTATTATTATTATTATCTTTTTCAGACTATAGAAGGAGAAACGTTTAGTTTAAATTGTATGTGTTCTGTACGTCACTGTGTATCAAAGCATCTATGAATTTACGAAAAATCTTAGTGAAACACATAGGTAGTATTCAAAATATGGCACACATTTATGTTTTTCTCTAGAAAACGTGAGATCGTGGTGAACTAATACGCTTATATTGAGACTATTGTCTGGTACAACAAATACACGTTTAATTTTTCGCATTCACTATTTTTCATGAAAGTTGTGTGATCAATAGTAAGGACTATCGAATAATACTTAACTGTTTGTCTTATGCTTATTTTGAAGCAGTCGACTTACCGCAGCCCAAACTCTTAAAATTAGTATATTTGATGTGTGTACCTTATTCAACTTTTCAGATGTTAAGTGAAAGTGAAGTGGATAATTAATTCTGATTTCCTTTTTCTTTTAGTCTCTAAAAGTGAATGCTTCACCTAACCTCAGCCAATGGCTTGTTGTCAGCCATCATGGTATCAGATTAGTTTTACAAAATAAAGACAGTAACGAGTTGAAAATTCATATGATTTCAACGCTTGGTGATATAAATAAAGTGGTTGCTTCGCGTACAGCGAACAGACCACGTTGGAGATGTGGAGATCAAACATCAATTAGTGAATCTCGAGGTAGCGATTATGGAAAACCATCAGATTATTTAAAACCTCCTTTAAGCCGATCAGTTAGTTCGGTTACATTGAATTTGCTTTCGCTAACTCACACAAAAGGGACGGATGAATTTTATACAGATATGGTAAGTTTGATGAGAGAATTCATTTGTTAACTTTTTTCTCTCTCTCTCTCACTTGAATGACTTTAGCAGTTTAATGTTTTACGGGTATATTTAAAATTATTTTATAATGGTGAAGTCTAGTTTCTTTTTATTAACATATTGCATCCTGTATTTTGTATGCAGCAGTGTTTCAAATTGCTGCATTCACAGCTGAAGTTATTATTATTATTTTTCCCTTGGGTCCCTAGTGGAACATAGGGCTTCAACTGCACGTCTCCACTTGCCACTTCTGTCTTCCTTCTGCTGTACTTTTCACCTGCATCCATGATAGTTCATACTGTTTCAACTCCTGTCTCTTCACACGATATCCTCCATGTCACCCTTGCACTGACGTCCCACTCACCGCTTCCCTTTTGGCCTGGTTCCACTCGAGCAATGGCCTGACGCGCGTGCGATGTCAGCCAGCAGCCTCCTCACTCAGCGAGTGTCCGACCCATCTCCACTTTCTCCTGTATATACGTTGGGTGATTGGTTCTTGTTTTGTTCGTTTCCATAGTTTCTTATTGGTAATTCTTTCCGGCCCGGCCATCTGATCTTCAGTATAGATCCAGCGAAGAAAGTTGTTGGTTGATAAAGCTCTGCAACAGGCTGTTGGAAATATTCTTTGTGACCCGACCGCCAAGTTTCTGATCTGATCCGTATAGAAGAACTGACTGACTTGACACTGTTTGTATTGAAAATCCGACCGAGTTTTGTTGTTGATGGTGGCTGAGTGACGAAGATTTCCAGATTGGTTTCAGGTTGATGAATGTGTTTCTCACCTTCCCGATTCTCGCTCGATTTGACATCCTCGTCTGTTCCGACTGCCTGTAGTTGAGACAATGCTTCCTAGATAATGCACAGCTGAAGAGTATGAACTAGTTTATTTTCCAATGTTCCAATAAATTTTGCATGATTTAAAACAATTTCTGTATTTGAAGATAAAATTTTGGGAGATAGGAACGAAATACAACTTCATTCCTGATACACCCTGAACAGGAATACATGTGTTGAATTTATTCGTCTTTTCAGAAGTGTAAATATAAAAGCTGCATAGGTTATAGACAAGGCTTTGTTTTCATGAAGCAAGTGGGATGGGTTACTTCAGGTTCAAATACCTGCTTGATGACGTGACAGGAATTGTTCCCGTATGAAATTGGTTATATCCAAACCTTTTTAAATTCCTAGAGTTTGACCGATCTATTGAAATAAACAGATTTATTGATAAAATAAAACTAATATGTATATATGGCACATATAACATAACATAACATAACAATTTCGCTTTATTCCAGAAACAGTACTTGTGGTACAGTGTGGAATTTTCAGCACATATCTACAATATTGCATCTAATTTCATCGTACATTTAAAAGGAGTATTATAAAAAAAATAAAAAATATAATAAAAAAAAAGAAAAGAAAAGAAAGAAATAACCAAAAAAATGCAAATAAAAATACTGAGTAAAAAAAGAAGATCAACACAAATAATGAAAAAAAAATATTTCAGTATTAGTTAGTGGAAGCTACGATATGTGTATGCGTGGTGAACAGTAACAGCTATAATCATACGGGAAATTATGAGATGTTCTTAAAAAAATGTTTATAGCCAAGATGATCAGTTAATTTGATTGAACAACACTAAGCAATCATAAGATAAACATTTCAGGTTTTATTTTTTGTCAGTACTAATGCGGTTGTTTGTAGTGGCAGTGTGAGGAATCATGCATAATACAAAATTTTTAAGATGGTGATAGTGGCAATAACAAACAAGAATGTCAGTTAAATAGTGCTGAACAAAGAACAACCACAAAACTAATGTTACATGATGGTTAATGACGGGACAATTTTTAATAATCATAGTGATAATATAGTCGGACCCAGTAGATGTACAAAGAAGGAATAGAATAAAGAATAAAAATGTAAGCCAATGATAATAATTTTAAGCAGCTAAGTATGTTTAAGAAGGTTGTTCACTATAGAGTACAAATAAGAGAGTGTAAGGGGGAAAAAAAACAAGGGCCAAAATTATGTTATTAACAACAAAGCAAGTCATAGGTTTCACGCCTAACATTGTCTCTGTCACTTAGAACACGGGCCAAATATGGTATCGTTGAGTTCCTATACTTGGTTGTGCGAGCATATATTATTTTATACTGATTTCTGGTTCTACCTGATGAGATGCAGGGAGAGAGTTGGGAATAGAGGGGGTGTTGGGGGTCAGAGAGTATGGTTTTAGACCATTTCTCACATGTATTCAGATGCTTATCCACTAATGTTGTGACGAGCTGACTGAGTTTTACACCGCTAGTCCTGCTAACTAGGATTATATTATTATATTATATATATTATTATATTATATTATATTATATTATATTATATATATATATATATATATATATTATATTATTATATATTATATTATATATTATATTATAAGTGGACTAATTTCCCCTCCGTTCAGAATAGACTGATAGTTTCCTATCCTTCATCAAAAGCTATTATTGAAACTGCTGGAAGTTCATCCCATACTCATTTACTAATATATTATTGTTATTGTTCCCTTGAGTTCCCAGTTGAACATAAGGTTTCAACAACACATCTCTACTTTCTTCTTCTATTTTCTGCTATCCTCTTTAGCTGTGTCCACGATTCTCCATAATCTCTTATTTCATTCTCGCAAGATCTTTTCCATATTACACCCGAATGACTCACCCGTCGAATCCCATTGGGATTCCACTCGAGCAATGGCCTGACATGCGATGCCAATCGACAATCTCCTGAAATTATGTCCATTTCATCTCCATTTTCACCTACATATTTGTTGAGTGGTCGGTTCTTGATTGGTTTTTTCGCCACTTTTTTGTTGCTGATTCTTTATGACCTGACATTTGTTCATCAGCATGGCAGCTGTTGACAAAAGGCTGTAACTTGTTGGAAATCCTCTTCGTGATGGGCAGTGGAAGTTTCTCACCCGTATAGAAGTAATGACTGACTCGCTTGACATTTGTGTTAAAAAACAGGATCTTGTTGTTTATGCTGAGGCGGAATGCAGAAGATTTTCAGACTTGTTTCAAGTTGATGAAGGTGTGTCTCGCCTTTCCGATTCTTGCTTACTAGCTTTGATATCTTCCTCAGTTTCTCTGGCTGTGGTTGAAACAACACTGGTTGCTTAGATACGTGAAGAAAGTAACCTCTGTCAAATCCTTTCCGTGGATGGTGATTGGTGCTGGTTGTTGTTGTTGTCGCTGTTCGTTGGTTACCTCCATCACCTTCGTCTTGTGATTGTTCACGTGGAGTCCTGTCTTCGCTGCCATCCTGCTTCTTCAGTCAGTTTGTTGGTTCTCGCCTACCTGCAGGTCAACGAGTTTGTGTGAAATTAAACATAAATCATCTGCGAAATCCAGATCTTCTGGAGTTTTCTTATTGGCTCAACGTATTTCTTTTTTCCTGCTGTCTAAAGTCTGACGTATAATCCAGTCCATCACAATTAGAAATATCAATGGGAATAATAGGCGGCCTAGTTTTACTTCTGTATTCACTTCTAATGCCTTACTGAGTTTCTTGTTGTGGATCACCTGACACGTGACATTGTCATACAGCCAGCTGCTGATTAAGGTTGTTTAAGACTTGGGCACTGCACGTCACAGTGTTGGAGTAGTTTCCAAACTACTTTTCGGCCAACGTAGTCTGTCGAAAGTCTTTTCGAAGACGATGAAGTTGAGACAGAGACAGAGTTTTGAATGCCATTCTATGCTTCGTTCGTTGATGACGATGATGCGTATAGTTGCAATTCGATATGCATATGTCTTACCTCTCTTGAGTCCAGCTTGTCCCTGTTGGGGGTGGAGGTCGGGTTTTTTGCATTGAGTGCATCTTTTATTCTCTTTATGATGATAGTACTTAGTATTTTACTTCGCGTGGACAACAGCATTATTCCACGCAAGAGTTACGAATGTTCAGTTGATTAATTTTTATTTGTTGCTAGTGAAGATTTAAGTGATTTCAATGCATATTTTCCCATGAATAGATATCAGTTTGCATAGAAGTGTACATTGAAATTAATAAAAATCCTTACAACTTATCATTTTCTCCACTTTGTTTTAAATAATGTAGGCTTATTTAATCATATATGAATGAAAAAGTGGATAACTAGTTGGGTCAGCTGAAATAAACTAGTCGTCTGTATAGCCGATGATTACACTGTGAGCATGAAAAACACCCCACATATAATAATATTTCTTTCTTGTACATAATTTCTTCAAACAACTCCAAGGAAGAAATCATTTGTATATTTGATAACTAGTGGTCATCATGAGTATTACTTACTTTAATTTAATGAATACCTACATATTCAATACCTGACTATAGGGAATACTTTTATGCTTCTTTCTTTCCAATTTGATTACATACAACTAACATTTTTTTTAGAGTTTTATTCATCACATGAAGTAGCTGAATATGTTTCTCTGAAATCTGTCAAATTTTTCTTAGAGCACACAGATTTTCAGTTGATATGTTCAAGCAAATAGTCTTCAAGAGAGCTTTCTTGACATGTTATCCCTTCTTAAAATATTAGCGTTATGCTTAACTGAAATCATGTGACAAACCTTCAAAATGTATAAAGCATATAGTTTAGCACTTAAATGCATTTCATCATTATACGTTTATATTAGCTGATGCATGTGTATGCAAATTGCAAGTTGGAACATCTACCCTAAAATAGTTTGGTGTATTTGCAAGAAACTGTGGTCTTGAGTTTTGCATTGAGTTATCAAGAATTCTTTAAAATTTATTGATCTTCAACTACCTTTATTTAGAGTAACTAGCGACTGATATGTAATATACTGCACCCGTCAGTCAGAGAAGCTTATATTTCTTTGTACAAAGCACAAAACTGGTGCATAACTTCACTTCTCAATAGTGATGTTTCTATAACCTCTGAGCTGAACAACTTTAATTAGACAAAAGAAAATAACTTAATTAGTACAGATATTCTTATTATAAATGTGAAACTATCATTTCTTGTTCAGAAGTATACGAAGCTTCGTGTTAAAGTAATGTTATCCTACTGAAACTGTTAAAATGCTTTTCGTTGCATACTGTATAGGTTTATGTTAATAAATAAACTGTCAAACTTCTGTCCGTAGAGCCTAGAAAGTGTTTCTGCAGTAAACTATTCCGTTCAATATGCCATACCTTCACAGAGTGGGTGAACATTCAAATCAGTAATTATGTAAATATCATTAGTTAGTATGTGACCGGCATTTGCATCAATACTTGTAGTTATTTACGACATAATCGTCATTGTTAGCAATATAACTGGATCTTTCAACCTAAAAACTGAGTTATTTGAGGAATGACAACGTCTCAGCATTTTGTAACGTACGCTTTAAATAACCTCATTCATGGCTATGTTATCTACCCCAAACAATTTCAGCAACATAAATATGACAGTCATTGTTCACTTATGTAAAGATTTTGTCTTGATATTGTGATTGTCACTGTGTACTGAATGATAATTATGGCTGTAAAATTTGATGGGGTATCCTGAAAACAATCACAAATTTGTTAATATGCGAACTGTTTTTTTATATTTTACCATATTGATGAAGCCTGTAGACTGGGCTCTCACATACATAATATAATGAGAATAAATGTTATAATTATTATCAGTTTAGACAATTTAGTGCTCATTTGGTATTAGATGGTTGGAGGCAGTCGGCATGAAGCCTTCGACCTGGGTTTCATGCTAGTTGGTACTTGACAGTCGGCAAGGCGTATCTGCAACCTTGAAGGAACTCATGTTCCTTCTGAGATTCTAGCCTGCGTCGCCCAGTGCTGAAGTCAGAGACGTTACCACTGAGCTAGAGATTTGCTGCAGACTGCATCAAAGACAGGACTAAACACATCACACTACGCACTGACTAGTGTTCAACAAAAAATATTCAATACATTCCTATAGGAGGTCAATCGCGAGCCAGAATAGCTCAGCAGTAACGTCTCTGACTGTAGCACCGGATGACGCGGGTTTGAATCTCAAAAGGGACATGAGTTCCTTCAAGTTAGCATAGATCCCTTGCCGGCTGGTGAATGCCAACTAGCACGAAACCTAGCTCCAAGGCTTCATGCCGATTGCCTCCAACCATGTAATAACAACAATTTACTGTGCACTGTGATGGCGAGGCACCTAGAATGGTGGCCAAACTGCAAGCTCGACTGATAGAATTCAGTCTGCACCACAGGCAGGGCTAAACGCATTACTTTAGTTACTGACTTGTGTGATTAGTTAGAGAAACCTTTGTTTCTGAATTTACTTTGGGTAATAGACTATCATTTGAAGAATTCCTTTTACTGTTTTATTAGTGTCTAGATCCTCAACTTTTGAAATCAAGACTTAGATTATATCACTCTTAGAAAGGAACTGGTTACGTCTGAAAAAACAGATACAAAAGCATTGCTAATGTTATCATTTAAAGAGTAAGGACATATGGGCTGTGGGGTGGGATACTGGAATTTTTATAACTCCTCTGATATGCCATTGATCAATAAAATGGTGCTTTAAATGGCACTCATAAATGATGCTCTCTGCTTCATTAAAACAAATATATTTATTGCAGAATCATGCTTTACTATATTATCTAGACCGTGTTCTTGTTTATAATGTATACTGTCTTACAATTTTTTTGTATATTACTGAGCTTCTGTTTTTATTTTGTTCCTATCTCTTATCCACTCTCATACAGGCAGAAAAGATTCGTGGACTTATTGACCTGTTTCTCAGAGAGTATCAAGAAGAGGTAATTTCATTTATACATATATATATATATATATATATATATATACAGTAAGGCAAGAGTATGCACACTGTGTAAATAAAACATGGCACCAAAAATAAGCAGATTTATTGGATAAGAAATTATTTTTACATTATTTCATTCTTTTACATTCGAAGTGGAATATTGGGTTTGAATTCTGAGCTTTGAAGTATCAATATCGGTGATAGTTTTTTTACTAAACGGTGTTGCTGACCTCACTATCAATCTTCCCTTGCTTGCTACCGGATAAGCAAGGTATAGCAGTGAGTCGTCCAGGCATTGAACCTGTGACCTCGTACGTGGTTAGCGAGTATTCTACCGCTGAATCGTTGACGCAGAAAAATACACAGGCTGAGGAAACACTAATACTTTACGTGATCTAATAGATCAAAAAGGTTTCATGCTGATTAGGTCATACAGACATCCAAATAACCATATAACTTTCGCTCATATTGGTTAGCAGTAATAAATATTTTAAAAATCCCACACAGTCAAAGAATTTTACTTCTTTGGGGAGTATTTGTGCACTGATAGCAGTTCCTAGTATGATGATGATGAAGTGTTAGAGAAAAAAAAGAAAACTTCAAAGGTTATAACATCTAAAGGTATGCATCTCGCACAGTGAATAATCTTCAGCATCTTCCATCCACTGTCTTTCTTCAAATCAAGGCAACAGCTTGATAGCGTTAAAGTTGTTTTCAGCAATCGCAATTCAGTGTTATTTGACTAACTCTTCATTAGGACTAATTATAACCTTATGCATCATCTTCTCTGACTTAATCAAGTTGTTTTCTTGTGAAGATAACTTCTACTTGAAACAAATGAATCATGTCCACGCATAATCTGATTTAGGCTTTTTAGGAATGAGACAGCTATTTTACTTTAACGTCGTGCTGATTGGATGATGAAAATCCATAGATAGATCAGTTCGAGTACTTCGTGAATATTAGCCTTTCTTCAATAATACAGTATGAAATTCTTTGAGCATGAAGGTTATTCGAAGTTATGTAAGATTGAAGTGAGTGGAATTGAATCTGGAGCTTAGTTAACTCTTCAACAGAAAGTTTAAGTTTTCAGAATCAAATTTTGTTTTCACCTCTTAAATCTTTATCTCATTTTTAGTAAATCAGGTCTTGTAATTAGACCTTTCGTTCAGTATAATAATGAAGTAAAAACTGATTTACTTGCTTGGGATTGGGGTTAAACAAGGCTTATCTTTTTTCACTGTACACTCACACTCGTATATGTTAGTTATAAAGTTTTCCAAAATATTTTAAATTGGAAAACGTGTGTGTGTGTTATTTCTCTTTCAAACTCTATTAGATGAAGCGTTGTCAAGAGGCATCAAAACATGAACACTTGAGAAGTGGTCGTAAGTGTTTTCTATTTTCACCAACGTTAATCACTTTTATCTACTTATGGTTACCCATGAAATTTATTGAATAAATTCTTTTTTTCTATTATGGGAGAATACATAAATTTCATTAATAATTTTCCTTTCACGTTCCCAGTAGAACATAGGGCTTCAAGCTAGTGGCTTGAAGTTTCTGTAGCAGTGTTTATTTTACAGGACGAGGTTGCTAGCCTCATGCCCAACCTTTACTCTTTACCAGTCTCATCACTGGTTTAGCGAGGTAAAGGAGTGCGTCGGCCGGGGATCAAACACCGAACCATGTGCATGGTCGGCGAGCGTCCTAACCACTGTGCCACCGACGCCCCAGTTCATAGATGGAAGCTAAATATTAAATAGTATTTTTTAGCGAATTTCAATGATAACGCATAGACTGTTTTGTTACCAATATCAGAGATAGTGATTGGATGATTTTTTTCAGTAATCAGCTTGTAAAATATTTACACTGTTTCTCTGGTAATCAAGTTATCATAGCAATATATTTGCTGTTACAATTAACCCACTAAATGTTTAGTTTCATTTCAGTGTATAAGCAGGATGATTTCCGGTATTTGTTTTTTTTTTGATGAAGTACATCACTATCTACTTATCTAGTTACATAGTTTTAAATGAATGATAATTACTCAGTCATTATAAATCTGTCTGCTTTCGACATAGAACTTTGCACCGATGTGCCGCAGTTTAAGTCGCTACACTCCCTCCATGTGGCACACAAAGCAAGAGAAGAAAGTAGAAGAAATGCATAACAGAGACAGTAAACAGAGGTGTGAGACAAAGGAATAGTAATAACGAAGAACGATATAGTTTCATTGGAAATCATAAGTCACAAGGAGTGGATGCATCTGCGTTACCCATTGAGAACGATTTTGAGCCATGTCACCAATTGTTTCCAACCATTGGATTTTACCGTCCCGAAGACCCCAACCAGGAAGTCTAAACCTTCCTACGTGACTGAAACTAAGTGTCGTGGATTTGAATGACTCGTGCGATTTTTTGGTTTGACCGCCTCTGGCTCTTTTCCAGCCTGACCGTATGTCAGCTGACATTGCCCATTGTCGAGGAAGGCGATGGCTAGGCATCCGTAACACATGTCCTAACCATCTCAGTCGATGTAATTTCACAGCCTCGTTGATTGATTTCCCCTTCTTACCTAGCACTCGACCGATCCCTAACCTCAATATTGCTCACCTTATTATACCACTTCGCAGGGGTGATAGAACGCAGGCACCTATGATCGAAGACAGCTAGCCAGTCTTTTCATGTCTTCCACTCTCGATAGCCAGGTTTCACAGCCATAAAGGAGGACGGAGCTATAAATACTCATGCATTTTCTAGTAAACATTTTACTTGAAAATGTTATCCAAAACTATCTTTAAAATAAAATATAATAAACAATGGAGTATCGTTCCCCAACTGTATCATAACATACACATGTTACATCAGTTTTCACTCCAAAGGATGGCCTATGTCAATATCATTCCTACGAATTTCGAAGTTTACCCCCTAGACCGTCATTTCATCTAAGCGAGCAAAGATTTATTGAGTTACATTAGGTAAGAATAAGCCAGTTCTCCCTGAAATTTTCATTTAAACTGATAGATTTTCATCCTCAGCTGCGCAATGACTGATAAAATATAACTTGGAAACTTAACAGAAAAGCACAGCTCACCTAATCTAAGATTTGAATAACGCCATATCATCTTAGTTATTTACAGAAGAATGCATTCAAAAAATAGTTAGTTAAGTATGCCATCAACAGTTAATGATATTGCCAAAACCAAATTATTTCTCTATATTTTCTCCGTAACAGTCTAACTGGCTGATCCCCCTTCAATGGATGGAGTTGGTTTATTACATACAATTCACAAATAATGGTCTAATGAATACAATATTTTTCGAGATAAACACTTGGCCGAAAATTGTGTAATTTTGTCTAACTATGTATAACCAACCTTAGTCATTACTTTAAAAAAAAATTATACTGTCGGTTAGTTAGATTTATTAAGTAACTTATATACTTGAAAGATTTTCTCTTGATATAACAGCTATCAACCTTTTTGCGGCTAGCTGATATCAGGGCATCTTTGAATGTTGGCTAGATGCTGTTGGTTATCATTTACTGATGTACTGCATCTCGAAAGCTTGCTCGAGTTGTCAGTTCGACGATTTTTTTTTCTAAGTACGCCTCAAAATTGACTCCACCTTCAAAAAATATTAGGGAAGAGACAAACTGCACGCAAAAGAAACAGTGAATGACAATTTTCTTGGTTATATACATCCTTATTAACTGTAACTTTCTTTTAGTCTGTTAACGCAATGTTTTATGCTTTTCTTTTTGATTTAATATGAAATTGTAATTTTTTTGTATTACAAGAATTGTCCCAATCTATCTAAAATTTAATATACCTTTGTATTCTATATGAAAAAGTAGTGTTCATGTGATAAGGAATAATACAGTCTCAAATAAATTTTTACTACGCGTGTTTTTTAATTTGGTATTTATATTCAAATTCAATTATATATGTTGTTGACATTGTGTTTGATCCAGTATAAAGTACCCAGGAGCTGTATTTCAGTTGTCTAGAGGCGATTTCTTGGTATTTGGTGTGTTTTTTAAAACAGAAACTTTGACCAATTTCAATTGTGCTTAGGAATCCAAAACAATCAAATGACTTGTATTATTAACTATACCATTTTCAGTTGAAACGACGTGAATGAGATGAATTCCTTCGGATATTTCCCGTTGTTGGCGATTAGTGCTTGTTATAAGTAGTCACCTAGTGTCTTTATCACTCCTATATTCTCTATATGCGTTGGTGGCACAGTGGTTAGGACTGTCACCGGCCATGCACATGGTCGGGGGTTCGATCCCCGGCCGACGCACACCTGGTCGACCTGCTAAACTTGGGCTACTGATATCATATACTGAAAATTTCATACTTGAACCAAAAATACTGTGTGGAATCAAGCTATAATTAAAATAAAAATTAAAAATAAAATACTGTTCTCACCGTCTTCTGACAAACTGTTGCTTTGTTTTGAACATCTTCGCTTCTGTGCAACATCAGAAATGCATGACCTACAAAGTCCACATCTCTTAGAGTCTTCTCGTCCATCAAATATGTACTCATCTGCCATAGGATATAGTCCAACGCAAAGATAAGAGTGATTGATAATAGTGACCTATTTATTTGAGAATGTGTTATGACGTCACTGAAATCTGGATTCTGTTCTGCTTTATTTGCCAGTGTGTCACAAAGGCGTTTCATGTCTGTTCTATGATGCTTTTTCACTCTTTTGTTAAGTGCTATGTAGGTTATACTTAATTTCTGCCCTAGCTTTTCATCTGTGCAATGGTTCGTCTTCTGCCTCAACATCCTTTTATTCTCTACCAGTTTCTAGATTTCTGTAGATAAATATTCGTTGTCTATCCAAGCTTCCTCCTGTATCAATTTCAAATGTTTAAAGGGTTCTCTCACCCAAGTTTTCTCTGTTATCTTGTTTGACGACCTTTGTATTTTGTGACGACTGCAACGAAGATGCCTTGTTTAACTTCGTTCTTATGTTTCTCAGTGCTGAACTTTAAATTCAGTTTATTTTTATCATTTCTGAAGGCTTTCAGCTTGATGTGGTATGCTCCCAGAGCAAATGACTGACTGACTTTCAACGTAGAAATTTTCACGGAAGTGCACCTGTTCAGTTTGTAATATACAGCGATCTGATAAGTGTAGTTTTTACTTAACACACAGTGGTGGTAGTATTAAGCTTATCACTTTGTGTTAAAATAAATAAGTGCATCTAACATTAAATCATATTCTGCCACAAAGTCCCAATTCTACTCTAACATTAATGACAGCTACTTGAACCTGAGTCTGGCCTTCTTCCTGACTTTTTACCCAGCGGGATGCGTCTCCACTCTATTGATTTTTGGTATGTCTATGTGGTCTTCTGGAAAGATATTTTTTTGCTTGTATATAGTAAACCAACACAAAGGCAGAAGTCTGTAAATAGTTCCCCGTTTCGACTTATTTCATCAAACACCTATCAGTCTTGTGTTGCCTTTTTGGAGTTTGGCTGTCAGTCATAAGATGCATTATAGTTTTGATGTCACCATCTGACTAGGCACATGGCCGTTACAGATTTCATTTGTCTTTCTTCTACTCTGTTTCTATTGTTTGTAGGGGATTATCTTAAGATAATTTTAACTGTCATTGCTTTAAAGTTGAATCTTACGGTCATTATCCTGGGAAAAATTGGTCCCTTTTACATAATAGCCTTCAATGCTGTTGGTGACATGATAGCCACTCCCTCAATGTGTTTATGGTTGTCGTCTGGGTGACAAGAGTAGATTATGAAGTTAATAGCTAAGAGGACATACTTTCATTCCATATGTCCTTATGGATTCTATTCTATTCTCCTTGTTTTTTCTACGATCTGATCAGCCTCACCGACGTCAAACGTGATGCGAACATTTGCTGTCCCTGTAATTACTTTCGCTTTTATCTGAAGAAGATTCACTGGACTATTGGATTCTCAAAGGTTCCATTCCTTTCTCATTCCAGAGGAAAATAACTTTATTATTTTGTTTTTTGAAGTTTTGGAGGCGATTGGGTTGTTTTCCAAGAGGTTGGGTTGCTACCGCCGTTCCCAAACTCTCCTCCTTCATCGAGTCTATGACGGGTTAGTAAGCTAAGCGAGACAGTATAGTGAAAAGACCTAAGACTATATCAGAGATATACAGGAATGGGATTTTAATTTGATTGAACTATTAATTTAAGGGTGCTATTGTAATTGAACTCCACTTGTCTAGTCGACTACAACTCAGATCAATTGATCTAACTGTTGGGAAGAAATAATAGATTGCTGTCTTTACGAACAGTGACAATTTTCATGCGTAATTCAGGATTTAATACCATATCTTGTTTTGTCAACTTTAATGCTAAGACATTACATTCTTCAGC